TGGTTCTTGTGTGAACTTTCAACAACGTGGATAGATATCAAAAAACATGAACTACAACTGTCAATAGCGCTCGAACCGGTTGTTCACGCGCGCACGAGAGAGCCAAATGCGTTTTTATTGTGAGCGCAGTACAAAACCGATGTCGGCAATTGTTTCTCGCCATGTAAAAACAGCTGGTTTTCCGTCAAAATCGCGTTCGCTCCAGGCGTCCTCGGAACGCAGTTTAAGAAAAACGCGCACTCCAAAGCTGCTCCACGCAAGCGTCTTGTGTCTTTGCATTACACATTCGTGGTTGTCCACAGTCGGCAACCTTCAAAAACCCGAGGAATTTGCTGGTTTTCTGTTGCTTCACGGCGAAAAGCTCATTGCAACGCAGGCGCACGAGAAATGACAGGTCCATTTCGCATTGTAAAACACAGACAAACAGGCGCACGAACTACAGAGTGCGGAGCAGAGCTAACTTTGCCAGACGTGCGTGCGGAAGGAGACCAAATCAAAAAAGGCACTGAAGCAGAAACACCTGCGGAGATGCCGCGGCCGCGTGTTGAAGCTCGGAACCGTGTGTTTCATATGCCAGGGCGGCCAGGCGGCAACTCCGCACAGGTGCTGCAGCAGAAGCCGGGCGGCTTGGGAATGCAAACAGTGACAAGCGGAACATTGGTGTTCCTTGTGTCCGGACCTTTCACCGAACATGACCGGGCGGAAGCGGCCGGTGCAGGTCGGGGAGTCAAAGGCGGAGCAGATATGGGTACAGTACCCTTGCAGGCGGAGGTGGCTAACAGCGTCCGCGGGCGGCTGCAGGCGACTTCGTCCGGATGCACGCAAAACATATCCGGATGTGGCCACCAAGCCAGCAGATAACAGTGCAAGGGGAATTTGGGAAAGCAATCAGTCCCAACCCTCTGCGGTGCTCCACGGGTCTTGGTTGGGGGAGTTGGTGAAGCCGGGCTCGAAGTTGAGGGCTCGTCGGGCCGTGGATAGGAGGGGACAGTGGCAGATGGCCAGAAAGCGGTCACGGTCAGAGCGGATCACAGGGCCGGGGGTGTCTGCGGGCACCGCGCGATGTTGGAGTCAAAGTGCATCTGGTCATGGCGGATTGGGCGCGGCGCCACCGGCGTGCGGGCCGGGTGGGCTGAAGAGCTCGGGGCCTGTCGCTGTGTCATGGTGCCAAGCACGCTCACGACTCCAGGCTGCAGCATCATGTGTTGGCGGTGCGGGTCAACAGTACGGGCATCAGCGTCCCGCAAACTGGACGTAGACCGTTCCAGAAGCGGCGGGCCTGAGTCAGCGGACAGCAAGCCAGAGGGTTCAAAGAACCAGGCACAGCGACACACTAAGATGTGGCGGCCGAATACCGCACAGACTGGACGTGCACCGTTCTGCAGCGGCAGACTGAAAGGGTTCCTTGCAGCGGCAGCAGGAACCGATTCAGCACCAGCAAAAGCTTGGTGAGAACCAGAAGTCGGACAAACTGAAGGCGGATTTAAGCTGTAAGTGAGTGCAACTCACCGGAGCAGGCAAGCCATGGCTCAGACGGAATCCGAACGGACAGCGTAGCATATGCGCCTGTCAAGCTAGCTGCGCAGCAAGGCGGGGGGGAGTCAGCAGGCGGAACATGCTGTACCTTGCGTGCGGGCAGCAAACATGTACACGTGCATTCAGACTCTTCCTCTGGGAAAGCTCTCGAAGATTCGGAGGTGTCGAACAACCTTTGGAATTTCTTCCAAGTCCGAAACTTCTTGCGCCAACCACCAAAAAATCTCACCCACCATCTTTTCTGGTGATTTGTCGACTCAGAAAAGTGATTTTAGCCGCTGTCACCTCAATCTTCACAGCGCTTCAGCTTCTCCACCACGTAAGTTGTCTTCTCGCTTTGATGAGTATATCGTCCACATAACACGGCTGCGAAAAGGCAGGGTTCCGTTTCGCAAGGTTCTAGTGAGCAGAGGTGTTTGAGAAGCTTGGAAAGATTCCGAGCCATAAAGTGCCTTTTTTGAGACGCATGAATCTGGATCGTCCGTTTGGCACTTCTGTCGAGCCGTGTTCTTTGTTCTCTGCAAAAGAGAAGCAGCGCTGACGATGCTCCTTGCCAACGTTTTTCTGCCATCGATAAGCGCACGCAACATGCGTTTGATGAAATGACGGGACTGGATGTCAATCGAAGGTTTTCAAAGGCCTGCAGCGGTTGCGACTTTACTCCAGCTACGACTGCTTTGTTTCTTGGCTTAAGGTGGTTGCACAAGGCCTCGTCACTTTGCCTATCACTCCCCAAAGCGAATCATAATACCCTTTGGTTTTCGAACCGAAGAAGTTATTTGTGGGAATTACCGACATGGCGCGCCTTTCTCCAGGCCATCGAATCTTGTTTTGTTTTTTTTTGAACCAGAGAAGTGAAACAAAAACAACAAAACAACGAAACATGAGGTTCTCGGCGTAGCCTTGCAACGTCACTGTTTGCAAATGGGGAGGCTGCGCCCTTAAACTGCGACCTCAAACGTCTTCGCCTTCTTGCAGTTTCCCAAGCTACTAGAAAACTTCTTCTTGCAAAAACGTAAGGTTTCTGGGATAATGGGTTTTACCTGCCCCTTTCAGCTCCGTGGAACATGCTGTCAACCCAAAGCCCCAAAAAAAGCACTTCCATTCCAAAACAAGAACCTTGATTCTTATCTTGCGAATTTGCAGTGCTGTGCATGTTCATTGCAGGCTCATCTTGCAGGAGCAGATTTTTTTGGAGACCTTCAATGCGCTGACAAACTTGCTCCAACAAGGTGGAACTGCCTCGTTCAAGGCCTTCTGCGTTCTAAGAGGTCACGTGGAGCTGGCTTCTTGACCGTCGGAGGGCTGCTCGATCGGCGCAGAAGGTGTCCATCCCGAATTTGGATTTGAAGACCTCCCAGGTGCGCTTTGCACTTCTGCACGAAGGACTGCAGTTTGGCGCTCCTTCCGCTCCTACTGGCTCTCTAGGAGCTACACTTCGCCAGAACAGACGCCGTCAAACGCGGCGGTGCTGTGGACCTGGTAGTGGAAGCACGGACCTCCCCTCAACCATGCCCTTGCAGAGGGCAGGCTTTCCGACTTGTTTGCCAGTTCCAGAAGCCCCTGAACTGGAACGGCTTGCACGCATGGTGGAGACGTGCTTGCTCGTTTTGAGAATGAAACGGGTTAGAGCTAGTGACTCCTCTCCAGAGATCACGCATGGTGCCGTCCTTTAGGCCTTTTTATTGTTTTTTTTTATTTATTTTCTTGCTTACGTGCCCCTTTCTGAACAGTCAGACCCAGTTAGACCTGTGGAGGAAAGCTTGTTAACCTCGGGTAGCTGCGCTGTTGGCGCCGTGCCGCTCCCAGGATCCAAAGGTCTCAAGGACCTCGCCTGCGCAGACTCGAGACTCTCGTGCAGCTGCCGCAAGTCAAGGCGTCATGCCTTTCGTGCGCGCCACGTGTGGATCACCAATCGGATTTCCCCATGCTACCTTCGTGGAAGAAAAGACAGCGTGTACTGCGTGGTTTAATGAATCAGTTTTGGGATGCATATTTTTTAGATAGAATGGATGCATCGTACTTCTTGAGAAGCGATGTACGTTTCAGCCTGGTCTCCCAATATTGAGAATATGACGGAATCGCAGTTTGCAGTGTTGAGAAAAATTTTCATTTGGGAGATGATTTTGTTTTTAACAAAATCAAAGGCTGATTGTCTGTGAGGCCTGATGAGATCTCAATTATTATCGCTCTCATGGGAATGTTCTTGATAGGTGCTGATTTTGATGTGACCGAGCACGTGCTCAAGTCAGCGCATCGAAGTTTTGTTTTCCCACCCACCCACCGGGGCGCGGGATGTGCCGCAAGTCAAGGCGTCATGCCTTCCGTGTGCGCCAAGTCACCAATCGGTATTTCCCCGCCTGGTCTCCCAATATTGAAAATAAGAACTTGTACTGTTTCTTGTGCGTTGTTTTTTCTGGGGGCGGCTGGCACCATTCCATGGCTGACCATGCATGACATGTGGTGCAAGCAACACCTTTCTCAAAAGGTTTGGAGATAGCAGAATGAAATGCCTTGCGTATCATGGGTGGAGTGGCTGTTAATTAACAATTCTCGTGCAGTGAAGTCATGTGCGCAATGAACCTGGCAATGTTCGATGCTGTGAGGTCAAGCGCGCAAAGAAACCGTTCTGAATCGTGCAAACAATCAAACAACCTCTCGAAGCCCCAAAAATCCTGATGAGTGCGCCATGGCTCGATGTTCACGCGGGGGCCGTTTTGCCCGAGAGGGCGACAAGGGTGAGCTCACAGACAGTTGTGAGGCCAGTTTTTTGGTGTTGCGACGAGGAACTCTCACACGGTTTTTCATCTTTCGGCGCTGTTATGGCCTTGTGACCACATGAGCTTGTTTGGGGACTTCGGGCATGTGTGTTAGCTTGAGCTTGATATGTTTGGGGTGGTGTTGCTGAACGAGGCCCGTACATGTTTTATTTTATCTGTTGCCACGGCATACATGTCTGAAATCTTGTTTCAAATATTGGCATCCCCCAAAGCTTTGCCGCAAGTATCATGGCTGTCGTCTTTCATTAAACAGTGCGTAGTGATGTGTGGGTGTGTTTCTTGAGGGGCAACTTCACACAACCTGCATTTTTCATGTTTGAATGTTCATGACACTGTCATGTTTGCTGCGCTGATGTTGGGACATGTTTCATGTACATTTTAAAAATTTTCCGTTTTGATCGTGAAACCCAGGACCCGTCTCTTTCTTTCTCTCTCTCTGTTTATCTCATTGTTCTTTTTGTGTCATTCTCTCTCTTTCTCTCTTTCTCTATCTCTTTCTTGTTTGTGTTTCTGAGAGGACATTACGATTGTCTCTTGGCGTCTTGGTTGCCAAAGCTACGAGATGGCTTGCTTGCTAAACAATCAAAGCAAGCCGGCATGCAACAACAAACTTTCGCAAGGAACGTTCTGGCGCCTTGCTTTGCTGCTGGATCTGGTCATTATTTTCACGTTCCTCCAGCCGCAATGGACCGGTGCTCAATATTTCCAGTGTGCTTCACCGCGATGTATCAGTAGACGGGTCACATTGAACCGTGTTGCACCCGTCCAAGTAAGTGAGTTCGGGTTCCAATGTTGAAGTACGGATTGTGACATGCAAGAAACCCTACTTGAGAGACGCCGCATATCCCGTTCTTAGCATCTCGGGGGTGATTGCAGTGTTGCCGTGTGAGCGATGCGGGGTGGGTCTGGGGGGTGGGTCGGGTCTGGGGGGTGGGTCTGGGTGTTGGGGTGGGTTTGGGTCTGGGGTCGGGGGGGTGGGTCTGGGTCTGGGGTGGGTCTGGGGGCTGGGTTTGGGGGAGTGTGGGGAAGGGGGTGGGTTGGGGATGGGTCAGTGGGTCTAGCATATCGTCAGACGACTGGCGGTGCGAGGATCGCGCCAGGAAAACAATGATGGGTACCAAGCGCCCCAAGCCAAATGTAAACATGGTATGATGGAATCACGAGCGAGGTATATCTCGAAAGAGCTTGCTGCGCGCAATTTGTTTTGTATGACTACCGTATGTCGTTGTTCGATTGAACACTGTGCCCAGGAGTGGGAAGCCCGGTCGGATGCGATCGTCGAGGAGTTGAGAGAAGCTAACCCGGACATCATCGCCCTGCAGGAGGTGCAGTAGTAGGTGTCCAAGATAAACAACCGTCTTTTATTTGACGAAAACTGATCTGAAGATTACTAAAGATTGGAAGGACTCTGTCTGGTCCATGCTTGCTTGGTGGCAGTTCCAGGTTAACAAGTTAATACCGATTGGAAAGGAAGTGCAACGGCAGTTTGAAATCGCGATGGTAGGCGGCTTACTTCTTGAAACATTTCACACGTGACTCTTGGCATTGCCCGTTGGGCACCCCCAACCTCCGAAAGTACCGAGCATCAGCCAGAATGAACGCTGCATGGATGCCTTCCATGCGCGAAACGCAGTTTGGCGTGAGCGCAGGCGTAATTTCACGCAGGGTTCTGATACCGAGGTGACGTGTTTTCGCAGTACCGCCCATTCTGCAAAACATTCATTTTAGATCAAATGGCTAGCTAGCGTGAAAAATCTCACATCTGCTTGTGATTTGTGCCCTAATCCTCAGGAGAAGCAACACGCGTGCCTGCGAAATTCGTTTGAGCGCGCAGCTGCTTGGGTATGCCGGGAGGCCAAGGCATGCCGAGGCTCCGGGACCTCAACTTCACCAACGCCGGCACCGCACCCGGACCGACGAGTGACGCATCGAGGTCGCGCTAACGGTTTGTCTCCCTGGAACGGGGCAGAGCTCGCGATCGATATGACGCTCGTTTCTGCCGTCGACGCAGCGCCATCACCGCACGCTCCAGCTAGCGCGCTTCCAAAGAGCATGCCGCTCGCTGTCGGTTCGTTGTCCTCGCTCATTATCGAGGTCGGCGGCCGCTGGAGGCCCGTGCGCTTGCTCGCCCGATGTCGCGCTAGGGCTGTTCCGGCAGCGTGTTGGGTGGGTGGTGGTGGTGCTGGTGGTGGCACTTTGCACTTTGCACTTTGCCCGTTCGAGTCACGAAGACTACGGTCCTTTCAGGACAAGGGACAACGGTGGGTGTTACGAGCTAATTAATGTGCGAGGCCGTGTCAAACTGTACAAAATCATGTCTTGTTGACGGCCATCTTGGCAGATGAGCTACATCAGACCACGAACTACATCCAGGGAACTGTGACATTACAAACTTATTCAACTCATCATCCCATCGCTTGGGGGGGCGACCAGGTCGTCGTCTCGGCACACTATTGAAATTGTGCTGGGATGACGGACTCCAGGTTGCAGCGCATAATGGCCAAGCATTCTTCGCAGTCAGGTTCATTACGAACCTGGTCGCCCCCCCAAGCGATGGGATGATGAGTTGAACAAGTTTGTAATGTCACAGTTCCCTGGATGTAGTTCGTGGTCTGATGTAGCTCATCTGCCAAGATGGCCGTCAACAAGACATGATTTTGTACAGTTTGACACGGCCTCGCACATTAATTAGCTCGTAACACCCACCGTTGTCCCTTGTCCTGAAAGGACCGTAGTCTTCGTGACTCGAACGGGCAAAGTGCAAAGTGCAAAGTGCTGGTTAGCACGATGAACACTGGACCACGAAGGCACAGGATGTTGCCTGAGAGCAGACGATGCCCGGGCATTCATGCGTCGCATCGTCTCTTCCCAAGTTGCATCTGCGTTGCGACTCTATCCAACAATGCTTCGAAACATCCTTCGCTGGCATATATCAAGCTGTTCCAGCTGTCGCGCCGTCAGTGCCAATGTAGAAAGTCCGAACAGTGCCGTAGGAGTGACCACGGCGTTGAAAAGCTTCAATCTGCCTTTGATTGACAGGTGCTTGTTCACGAATATGAATCTCAGCTTATTGAACTTCCCCCACGCTGCACTGATACGATGCGCCAGCTCTGTTCTTGATGGGCGTCGAAGGTCGCCACAAATTTTCCGTCCAAGGTACATATGTGTCTCTCCGTCACCCAAAACCTGGATCATTTCACCGCCAACGTCAATGTAAGCAACCTCTGGCGAAATGGCTGTTGTGAAAATTCGAGTTTTCGCTGCATTCAACGATAAGCCAACTGACGCCAAGTCAGCCTCCAATGACTCCAGCATGATAACAAGCTCACGCCACGACTTGGCATAAATCATTAAATCGTCGGCGAAACGCACATAAGTCAAATTCGCGGTAGAGCCGATGTCGATGCCATGGTCAAGCAAATGTGCCTTCCACATCCTGATTGCGTGTTCTAGCCCAGCTTTGAACAAAATAGGACTGATGACATCGCCTTGCTTCACTCCGCGTCGAATTGGAAAAGCACGGCTATCAGCGACAGATCCAGTTTGTTGAGAATACAAAGTCCTCAACAAAGCGTTGTACCCATATGCTCTTCCGGGGCGAAGACAAAGGACAGGTAGGGCGACCCTCCGAGCCTGGAAGCTTTTTCTCCTGGCGCCACGCATGCTCCTGGCTCGGCCGTCCATCAAACACGGCCCGGGCGGCCGCGAAGAGCTCCTCAGTCGCGCGGCGGCATTCCAGCAGGAGGGCGAGTGGCTCTGCTTGTTGCGCGAGGCGCGCCAGCTGCCCCGAGCAGAGGACGCGGCCCCGGAGCCCAACGCGGAGGAGGCCGACGCCCGTGCGCTACAGTACGCATGGGGGAGGTCTCGCGCGTCAGGCAAGTCCTTACAGCTCCAGCTTTGGCCCCGGGAACAGAACAAACGTATGCGGCGCTCACGGACCCAGCGCGCAGGCCTGCCGTCCCACGCCAGCACCGCCAGCCCATCCCGCTGGACACCCTCGCGCACGAGCCAGCCGAGCCCGTGACCCTGACGCCAAAAGCTGTGGCGTCCGCGCTGCGAGATGCGCGCTGCGAGATGCGCGCCGCGGGGGCGCACCAGGCCTGTCTGGCATGCAGGTTGAGCACTTCAAGCTGCTGTTGCAAGATATCCCCCGCGCAGGAGCTCCTAGCCCACGCCGCCACGCACTCCGCCACGCAATTGGCCCGGGCCCGCGTGCCCGCCGAAGGGGCCGCCGCCGTTGCCATGGCCCGATTGACAGCTCTCCACAAGCCTGACGGCGGGATCCGCGGCATAGCCACAGGCGACGCATTCCGCCGCTTCGTCGCGCGTGCTCGCCAAGCAGTGGGGAACAACTTTCGACCACGCCACGCGACCGTACCAGTACGCACTCCAGTCGCGGGCGGGCACTGACGCCATTGTTGCGACCGTCCGAGCGGCGTTGCACGAGGACGCAGTCGTCGTTTCGCTCGATGGCTGCAGTGACTACGATAGCATTTCCTTCCGGGTCAAGTTGCAGTTAACTGCTGCCTTTCGTGCGCATGTTCTATGGTCGCCCCTCCACCTATAGCTGGCGGGACGCGGCCGCAGGCGTGATGTCCACCAGGCCGAGGGCTGTGAGCAGGGCGACCCATTGGCCCCCGCGTTATTTGCCTTGGGGCAACACGGTGCTCTCGCACGGGCAGCAGGCGACCTCAATCCAGCCGACAAGCTGCTGGCATACCTTGATGACCTCTACGTCATCACGGTGGCATCAAGAGCACGTCCGGCACTCGACACGGTGACCGGGGCAGTGGAGGCGCATTGTGGCATCGCATCCAATTTTGGCAAAACGCGAGGGCTCGGAGGCTCGGAGGGGGCTGCTCCGCCGGGCCTGGCTGAGCTTGGCCCCGACGTGTGGAGGGGGGACCGGCCCTCGCACGAGCGAGGCATGGTTGTGCTGGGCTCCCCTGTAGGCCACACGGATTTCGTGCATGCCTGGGCGGTGAACCGGCTGCTCGAAGAAGAGCAGCAACTCCTGCAGCAACTGCCCCAGCTCCCTGACCTGCAATGTTCATGGTTGCTGCTCGCGCTCTGCGTGCTCCGCGCGCGAACCACGCACAGTCTCCCAGCCGCCATTGCTTCGTATGCCGCAGGCCATGACGATGCCATCTGGCACAGGCCACTGGACTGCTTGGGCGGTGTGGCGGGGGCCCCACCAGGGGATGCGCACCTTGCGCGGGGCGATCGCTTTCCTGCCAGCAGCGTTAGGTGGCTTAGGTCTGCAGTCGGCGACGCGCTCGGCACCGGCGGCTTACTGGGCAGCCTGGGCGGACGCCTTGCCAGTCAGGGGGGCCAGGCTCCCAGTTTTGCGGCGCACTGCGTCGAAACACTCCCGCGGGGGGGCCGACATGGCGTGCCTTCGCCATGCGGCGGATGCCCGCACGTTGCTCCTCACGGAAGGTTGGGAGGCGTGCCCCACATGGCAGCATGTAGCAGGAAACCAACGGCGGACCCAACCGCGGAACCTCAGCTGGGCGAGTGGCCGCATGGATGGCAGCAACATGCATCGCGCACTCGGAACTTGTACTTTCGCGACCGTGTGCTGCTGCCGTCATTGACGCCTGCTCGTCGAGCAGTGTTACGGCGCCAATCTGGTCCCCATGCCGGCGCTTGGCTATCGGCGATTCCCGGCACTGCGGCCCGGCCACCCGCGTCGACAATGCGGACAACATGGGCGATTGTTGCTCAACCGCAGCTGAACAGCACAATTCAGGTGCAGCTTCATCTGACACGGGCACGGCCAACTCCAAACGGGTTCGTTCCCATCCCCGACGTTGCAAAAACAGCACGTCCCAAATCAATTACAAGAGCGAGGCAGCGGCAGGGCTGCAAGAGGGTGAGGCCATCTTCGCGTTCTTGGACGACAACTATGTCGTGTCAGCACCGGAGCGCACCGATGCGCTGCACAGCGCCCTGGAGGACGCGCTGTGGCGCCATGCGCGCATACGCTTGAATCGAGGCAAGACCCGCGTATGGAATGCTGGCGGTGAGGAGCCTGCCGGCCTGGCCCGTCTCCAGCCGGTGGGTGCCGAGCCAGTCTGGACGGGTGCCTGGTCCTTGCCGGCAGACCAGCAGGGGTTACTGGTACTAGGAGCGCCGCTCGGCAGCGAAGCTTTTGTGCGCCATCGCCGCGTCCTTGTTGGAACTCCCGCTCGCGGGAGAGTGCAACGTCGCCGGAGAGGCGCCGGAGCTGCACGAAGTGCTTGCAGACGTGCGCTGGCAGCTCCCAGTCATGGGCAGCCGCCAGGGGCCTCACTAGTGTCCCCGGCAGGAGCGCCTCCGTACTCCGTAGGACTAGGTAGGCACTGACGGTCGGGACTCTGGATTGCCGGTAAAAAGGTCCGCAAAAAAAAAACCAACGCTTCCCCGACGTCGCCCAGCAACTCGTGCGCGCGCTCGAAGGCGATGCAGTCGCCGCACCGCCCTGCGTGCGGGCAGCGGCGGCGGCTACGGAGCGCTTAGACGCGGCTGGTTGGGAGGAGCGGCCTCACTGGGCGGCATGTGCCGACGGGGCCCAGGTCCCGGCTACAGACGGTGAGCTCGGGCTCGGTGGCCCTGGCTGGCAGCGACGCGCTGTTCTCGCACTCCACACGTCCTTCCGAGAACGCGAACTGCTCCCGGCCATGGCGCCCGATGCGCGAGCCCTCTTTCGCTCTCAGTCTGGGCAACATGCGGGCATGTGGCTCGCCGCCATACCGGCTGACGCAGCTGCGACCCTGGCCCCAGACTTGATGCACATTGCCCTCAGGCGACGCCTCCGCCTGCCGCTACCATTGACCGCCCTGCATTGTGGAGGCGACGGAGCTCCCGGCTGCCATGGACAGGCCGATGCGTTAGGTGACCACTTCGTCGCCTGCCCGCGTACTGGCTTGCTGCCGCGCCGAGGCTTTGTCCTTGAGCGCGCGTGGGTGCAGGTCGCGCGTGAGGCGGTCGGGGCGGAGGGCCGAGTAGTGCCACAGCAGTGGCTGGCCCGGACCACGGCACCTGGCGTTGCGCCTGCGGACCGCCGCCGCTTGGACTTGGTGGTGTACGGGGCCACGCCGGGCGGTGAGGCACTCTGTTGTGACGCGACGCTTGTCTCGCCCCTGACGCGAGCGGGTCGCCCAGTCCCAGGTGCCGACGTGCGAGACGGGGCCGCGTTGGCGGCCGCGCGCCGCCGCAAGCACGCGCGATATCCCGAGCTCCTGCGGGGAGGTCCGCAACGGCTCGTCGTGCTCGCGGCGGAGGTGGGCGGCAGGTGGGGCGAGGAGTGCCAGCGCTTCGTTCGCCAGCTCCTGCGTCTCCGCGTTCAGAGGGCCCCTGCAACCCTGCGTGCCACGGCGGCCCAGGGGTGGGCAAGGCGATGGTGGGGCCTGCTCTCGGTCGCCGTGCAGAGGGCAGTTGCCAGCACGGCCCTGGGTGTCTGGACGATGCCGGCGCTGCCGGGCTCGCCGGACGGGGTCCCCCTCGCTGATGTCCTTGAGCTCGCCGATTTCGCGGGGCCCAGCCGCCTGCCGCTTCGGTGAGACGTGTGTACATAGGGGGGGTGTGGGGACCTGGATCACGACCGCCGCGAGGAAAAAAAAAAAAAAAAAATCTTATCATGCAAATCTACGCATGCATACGATCAGCCTCGGAACTTAAGTGACTTGACCTTGCTGTTACTTTGTTCCGTGAACAAGGTCAATGGCCTGCAATTGCACACGGCTTATTTTGTCCAGTATCCGCTGAACGAGGTTCGAGCTGTGTTGGCGACCCCGCTGTGCCAGCAAAAGGCAACATTCGCAACAACGCTCCAGCTGCAGCCTGTGATACCTCTGGTTTTCAACCAGTCACGGCTACAACCGCTGATGGTCGACTAGGTGCTCAACATCCCCTGCTGCCACGCGTGCCCCTCGCTCATGATGCGATTTGTTGATCCCCTCAGTTTGCGGGGGGTCTTAAATGGTGACCCTTCGGTGTCAGGGAACCAGGGGTCTGAAATGGGTCCAGAGGCATTTTAGACCCTTCCCGGCTTGCCATTGCAGACCTGTCGGTGTCGCGCTTTTTGGGCCCGGCTGTGGGTTGTCTTAGCCATGTTGCAGATGCAGTCCATAGCCAACAAAAGGTCTAAAATGGTTTGCCCGGGTTATGCCCAGTCCCTGGGAAATAGCACAGTTGGGGCCAACAAAAGGTCTAAAATGGGCGCCCTAGGCCCCTCCCCTGACAACCTGAGGGGGTATTTGTTGTTTGTAACACGCTTTGCTTTCACAGCTCCCAACGTCATAGGTTTTACGTTTGCAGAAATTGCTTGAACGACGCTGCCTCGGCCGCCTTTCTGGATTCGCAGGCGGGGCCGCATGCTGCGCGCGTTCTCACCACCCGTCCCACCTTGCGGAGGTAGGCGGATCCGACGCGCTGACCACGTTCCGTCTTGTTTCTCTCAACTGTAATAGGTTGTGGTTTCGGTCTGGTCGGTTGAGTACTTATTTTCATGGGTTGACGCATTTTTTGTCGCGGCCCCATGGAGCAGTGATGAGCAGTGCTCGCGACAGCCTGTTGCGTCGACACAGTAAGCTGCTCAGCACCGACGATGCAACAAACAAAAATGCAGCCCAGATTTCCTCCGGCTAAAAGGTCGCCGAGGTTGCTTCTTTCATCCGTGCATTTGCGTGCCAAAGGGTTTGGACCATCCTCGCATTGCCTGGGTGTTGGTTACTGCCTGCTGCGTGCGGCAGTGGTAGGGCCTTGGCGTGGACCACCTTTGTTTACCGGCAGCAAAGAGCAAAGAGCGAGAAAGGGCCACTAAGCGATCAAACTCAGCAGCCAGCACGTTGCCTTCCTGTTACTTTGCTAGCTGCTCTTGTCTGACATATCCTCGATGCTTGCGTGCAAGGCCTCCAGCCCCTGTTGCTCCACCTGCCCGGCGGTTTGACGTGCACCAGCGTCATGACACCCTGCACACAGCAAGATGCGCCAGGAGAGGCCGACAGGGTTGTTGATCGCGGACACATATGTGAACGCCTCCCACGCGCCAGCGTCACGGCACCTCAGGGGACACCGAGAGGGTTGTCGCTCGCGAGCAAAAAAGTGAGCGTTGTCACGCGCCATGGCAACGACACGCCGGGAACACCGAGAGGCTTGTCGTTCGGACATATGTGAGCACATCCCACGAACCAGCACGATGTGAGGAGGCGCGCCAGGCATCACCCAATAGCGATCCATGCAACAACGAAACGAAGAACCCTGGAAAACCATTTCGCTGAAAAACCCTCGCCGCGTTCTCGGGCAAAAGCAGAAAAAGTGTCACGTGTCAACATTCGGGCTCGTCCCTGCCCGCATGTTAGGTTCCGCTTGAAGCTCAGTGTTTCGAGACTGTCTGAACCGCACCTCGCGACAAGGTGATGTGCGAGCTTTACGAAGCAGACCTGCAGCCGCGGCTAGCCTCGCTGGGCTACGCTGGGAGAGTGCAGAAGAGGTTGGGGCATGCCCCAGCAAGACTTAACAACAACAGAGACAATGTTCTTTGTTTCATGTTTCACAACAGTACGCGAACCCTCCGCCCGTTTGCACGGAAGGAAGGATGATCACCGGACGGGGAACGCAACGTTCTTCCGCGAAGATCGCTTTGAGGTCGGCCGCTGGGCTAGATGATCAATCTTATCCCCCAAACAAAAACAAATGCCAATTTGCCCTCGCTTTCAGACATGCGCTTTTATGGTTTTCGACATCTTTTTGTCAAATGTGATGTCGTTGTTGGGGATTGCGAAATGCGAAACGGTCGTACTTGGATGTACGGGTTCACGAAAAGCTGAAACATGTTGGCAGCCTGCGCCACCCCTACTGGGACTCTTCGCTTGGCAGTTGTACTAAAACGTGAAAAGGTGTGAGAAAAACACGTTTTGGGTGTCCGCGCTGGCAATTATTTTCGAACTGTAGGATGTGGGTTTTTTTCAAATGATCAGCATTCAAGTTTCCTAGGATGGGCGTTTGTTCAGGAAAACGTTGGGCCTCAGCAACACGCAGACATGCGAGTAGAGTAGTGGGCACAGCATCGTGCAACCTGAGCCCAGGCTGGGAAGCACATCGCAGTCGGGTTCTTCTCCTCGGTTTGCGTGATTTGCGCGGTGATCGTGCTGAGACACCAGACACCAAACTTTTCATTATTTTCCTATTGTTGACATCAGTTTGTCCGAAATGTGAACACACAACCACTGGCGTAAAAAACCCTGAAACATGGGCCTACGTGGTGTCGAGTACTCACGTCTGTCGCCGGGCACAAGGATTTGCGTGGCTAATGCCCACTTGGAGGGCAATCCCCTGAAAGCAATGGACCGGGTCAGCCAGGCCGGGCCATGCGGCGGTATTCTCATATTGTGCATGCCCGTACCACCATGTACCACCCAGCAGCAGCAAACTGCCAGGTGCGCTCAGCCCTGCAGGATGCTTCCAAGCATGGCGGGCCACAACGGCATGGCTTGATCCTCTGTGGTGACTTCAACGCGTGCCTTAGCTCCAGAACGTAAATTTGCCAGACGCCTCACATCGTAACATTCAGATGCAGTGGCCAGTGACTGCCTCCTCTCCATCGCAAGGCCGTTGATCTCCTCGGCCGTGGCCTCCTTCCTCTGCTTTGGCCAAGTTTTGTCAGGGGTTTCGGAGCCTCAGGGCAGCAAATGTGGACATGTTTTTTTTTGCATGCGGAGAGGTACGTTGGTGTGTTTTGTTGGTAGTACTGTAGGTTCTGCGGTCCTGGAGTCAGTCAGCATGTCATCAGCGCCCAAAGTGGCAGTTTGTGGTACGCAGAAGCTCTGTTACTGCAGGTTCGGGCATGTGGTGGCCCCCGGCAAGACCCAAGACGAAATCGGCCATCCTTACGCGATGCAGTCAGCCTATGCGCCAGACGTGGCAGAGTGCTTTGCCAGCAGACTCGACGCCCAAAACGGCATGTCCTACTGTTGCTAGGTTTCATGCGGCTTTATGCCGCCCTCAAAAGTAGTGGAAGGCGAGATGTTGTGTGAATGTTTTTTTGTCATTTTCTTCTGTTTTCTTGGCTCATTGCTCTCTCTCTCTCTCTCTCTCTCTTTCTATCTTTTTTTATTATACATTTTTTTTTTTTCTCTCTCTCTCTCTCTGTCCCGCTCTCTCGCTCTCTCCCCTGTTATCTCTTTGCTCTCTCATGCCCCTCTCCTCCCTCTCTCCTCCCTCTCTCCTCCCCCTCTCCTCCCTCTCTCCTCTCTCTCTCCTCCCTCTCTCCTCCCTCTCTCCTCCCCTCTCTCCTCCCTCTCTCCTCTCTCTTCTGTTTCTCTCTCTTCTCTCTGTCTTCTCTCTCTCTCTCTCTTCTCTCTCTCTTCTCCCTCTCTTCTCTCTCTCTCTCTTCTCTCTCTCTCTCTCTTCTCTCTCTCTCTTCTCTCTCTCTTCTGTCTCTCTTCTTTCTCTCTTCGCTCTCTCTTCGCTCTCTCTTCTCTCTCTCTCTTCTCTCTCTCTTCTTTCTCTCTTCGCTCTCTCTTCTCTCTCTCTTCTCTCTCTCTTCTCTCTCTCTTCTCTCTCTCTTCTCTCTCTCTCTTCTCTCTCTCTTCTCTCTCTCTTCTCTCTCTCTTCTCTCTCTCTTCTCTCTCTCTCTTCTCTCTCTCTTCTCTCTCTTCTCTCTCTATTCTCTCTCTTCTCTCTCTTCTCTCTCTTCTCCCTCATCTCTCTCTTCTCTCTCTATTATATCTCGTCTATCTCTTCTCGCTCTTCTCCCTATATCTATCTCTTCTCTCTCTCTCTCTCTTTATATCTTCACTCTGCTTCTGCTCTGCTCTCTCTCTTCTCATTATCAACTCTGTAAAAGTCTTCCTCTCTTCTTCCTTCTTCCCGGTCTTCCCGCCGGTAGTCCTTGTCTGCCATCTTTCCTCCTCTTAATCTCGCTTTCACATCTTTATTTACCTGCTCCGTCTAGCCTCTTCCCTTCCTTCCACACCCAGCACTCCCCTTCCATCCACTTCCCTCCCTTCCCTCCCGTCCCTACATTAACCGCCCCTCCACTACCTCCCTCCTTTCCTCCGTCCTACATTCCCTCCCTTCCCTCCCTTCCCTCCCTTCCCTCCCTTCCTTCCCTTCCTTCCCTTCCCTCCCTTCCCTCCCTTCCCTCTCCTCTCCTTCTCTCCCTCTCTCCCTCTCTCTCCCTCCCTCTCTTTCCCCTTTTTCCCCTCTCCCCTCCCCCTCTCCCCCCTTTCCGCCTTTCCATCTCTCCTTGTCTCTCCTCTCTCGCGTGCACAGGGGCCATGCGGGGTCCATACGGGATTCAAGTTGTTGCCCAGACCAAAAATCGCGGCAAACGTTTCGCAGCCGGTACTGTCTACTCGTCGCCTTCGGGATCGAAGTCCTCCGTCTCCTTGCTCGGGTGCAGGCGGCCGGGCTCCGTTTGGGCAGCGCGGGTTGTACGGTGGAGTGCTATCATCTCCGTCGCGGCGCAGTGCGCGCTTGCGGCGACGTAGTTTGAGCTTCCCGTGCCGTCGGAGCCTTGTGCTGCTGGCCCACCTCCAAGGGAATCTGTGGACCCGACGGAAGGCAGACGCAAGAAAGCGCGCGCAAGAAGAACAATATCTGGGTTGGTAAACTTGGAGTTCAGGTTACTCCGAACGCCTCAGGCCCGAGACTTTTGGCGGATCAGGGACATGTCTGTGTCCCGAGGTTCAGCTTCACCCTTCGCGGTGCGGCGGGCAGCTGCCATATGCTGGATCACATATGGTACGACTCAGCACGTGTACAGTGCAAGGTGCGGGTGCTCCCTCGTGCCATCGCCCAACTTTGAGTAGCCTATAGTAGCCTCACGCTCGGCAAGGCGGTCCGCGACGTCTTCCGCTCCCCGGAGCACCGTGAGGTGCATCAATCAGAACTGTTGGTTATGAGGGGTGTCAGTGATGTGGCTGAAATGTGATGGTGCTGGGCTGAGGTTGTCTCGTATGCTCTTGTAGCAGCCAATGCCGTTGACACAGAAAAATGCCTTCTTGATGCACCTGTATCTGTGTTCCAAGAAACGTGATTTCGGATACAACTGGGCAATTTACACCATTAGCGCAATACCTCTCGCCTTCGACAAGGTTAGCCCTGCTCAAGATTCCTTGTACTTTGATGTCCCAAATCTTTGATATTGCTTGGCATACCCTTGTTACAGCTTCAACGTCGCCAACTGCTAGTCCATCATCGACATAAAATGTTCCCACGCCAACAGTGTTGCCAGCCTCGTCGATGATGGCCCACAGTCCCTTGCGCGTTGATACCTCTCTCAGAGTTAGTTTGCCCAGCTTGTGACCCTCTCCAGGACTCAGATCCAAAGTTCTCATGGCTTCATCCCTTGCTCGCTCCCACTCAACTGGAGACACACGAAGACCATATAGGGCTCGTTTCAGATACCATACTGTACCAGGACTCGTTAGTCCCAGTCGCTCCAACACTTTTGGAGGTCTAACCGCTGCCCTGTGCTTCTCTGACAGAATGGCGTTCAAAAAAGCACAGACGACGTCCCAGGATAAAGCCGTCCACGTTGGGTTGCTGGCCAACATGGTAAGCATGAATCGCACGACCTCTGGATCCACGTTACAAGAAGCAAATTCCTCCTTGGTAGCATCGCTGGTATTCTGGAAGTTACCACAACCCACCACTCTCGAGCGTGCTTTGAATCCTAATTCCTTTTCAGATTCACTCTCCGGTGGCTTCATGGAAGTTCACAGGTTTAGCTGGCAATACTTCCGGTATGTATCCCAACTTCGCCTTGAGCTCTTCCAAGGTTGTTTCTTCCCATACCTCCTTCGTAGCCATGCTATCCATTTCCTTGCAAATTGCTTTGTACCATGCTTCTTGCTCCTGCACACTTCCTTCAAAGAAAACGGTATTATCCACTGTCTGCGCCGACGCTCTGTCCTTTCCCTGCAACATGAGCTCCATCTCCATCCGAAGCGCTTCTTCCTCAATGTCGTTGCTTGGGACCACGTAGCCCTCTTTCACAGGCTCTGGCTTCACACTAGCCTTGTGTCCCATCGCAGGTGAACACGCTACAACCGCCTCGGGGGATTTGTGCAGCACACCATGCGAATACAAGTTGAAGATTTCTCTCGCGCTCTCAGGACTCCGCTTCTGCTCGAGTAGTTGCATCAGCTTCTGCGGGATGTCGTTCGGGTCTCGCACGTCAGCACCCCGTTTCTCTTCAAGTGTCAAGATCTCGGTTTCAGATGGTGCACCCCATGCCCACACCTTCCAGCGATCTTGGTTCTTATTCAAGAGGATAGGAAGCCTCACTTCTCGCACGACTAGACGCCCATTTCTCTTTACTAGAACCTTAGATCCGTTGGCAGTATGCTCAGTCAACCCGATGTACACTCCTCGCTCTGTTCGATGTGCAAGGTCTGGCATCACATCTGCAGGCAAACGACAAAGTACGTAGTCTCCAGGAACTGGTAAATCTTTGGGGATTGGGACCTCCAAGACCCTCATGCGCTGAAGCTTTATCACGTCATCCCAGAACTGCACGTCTAGCCCTCCACCAAGCAACATAGCTGCTGTCTTTCCCTTGAGCATGTCAATAGTGGCTTCCACCCTCCCATTGCTTGCATGAGAATATGGAACAGCAAATGTCCTAAAGTGATTAAACGGCTTCAGTGATTCCTGAGAGCATCTGGCAACGAACTCCTTTCCTTGGTCTGAATGAATGCGAAACGTCACCTGCTCCCCGCTTGACATGGACAACAGTTGGTACAAAATGTCATGCAGAGCATCTGTAGTGGTCTTGGCCTCCTTGTTGGGAATAGGTCGCACAAATGAAAGGTTCTTTGGTCCAGGGAGATGCACACAAGCCACTAGCGCATATTTGTTGCCAGCATACGACTTCCGGTGAGGTCCTGACAAATCGACGGAGATTACGCCATCCTGAATGTCCTTGGCGTTGAGCTTTCTGTGGGGTCGTCGATGGCCTCTTGCCCTCAAGCATGCCTCATCGTCCTTTTTGTAGAGCCCCTCCCTGCAATGCCTCCACAAATCAAGTTCTGCCGCTTCTTCTTCCGATTTCGGAAACACTCTTGACAGGTCCCATGGCTCAGAGTCTGTGAAACATGCTACGTCGATATCCCCACCCTCAACCTCCGAACCCTTCACCCCGGGGGCTAACTCACAACCCTCATCATCATCATCATCATCATCATCATCATCATCATCATCATCAACATCGACTACTTCTGCATTGCTGCTGGTGATGTGGTGCGTGGAGGTGGTGTGGATGTGAGGTGGTGGTTCGTAGTTGTGAAATGTGTGTTGCAGCATTGCTCGTCTCTCCTCCATCGATGCCCACTCGCCTGACTGTAAGTCACAATCATGCAGCTGAGCAGAAGAAGCCGCGAACGCTGCCACCTCCTGAGATCTCATCCTCTCATCAACATGCCCTGGCTTGTCCGATTGAGAAACTTGCCCTCCTGCAGATGCACTTGTTGGAGCTGGTCTCTCGTACACTGGCACTGGAAAACCAAGTGTCCTCAATTCCTTGCGAAGATCTTCTGGCCACAAACCATGGCATCTTCGTGTGTATGCCACAACAATCAGCCTCCGTCCATCGAAGCTTTCGGTACCATGCCACATCCTTCCATCGAATGTCACCACGCCCAAGTTTAAGGACGTTAGCTTCCCTTTCATCGTCGGACCTCCTGATTCCACCACTCGAGGAACATCGCCTTGATCATCTTGGATCCATAGCTCTCCACCCTCGTAGTCTGTCAGGGCTGTGATGTAGGTCAGGTGGTTCTTGGCGTTATCATCTCTGTGAGGTTTAAAAGCCACTGAATCCATGAGTGCAATCGTCCCGAATTCTGCGTCTGGCACTTCCTGGACGATGTATTTGGCAAGGAGTTGAGCGAGCAGAGGATGGTTCTTCGTGACCTTGGTAAGTCCACTTATTGGCCCATGGGCATAGCCCCCAAAGATCCAAGCGCGAACCTTCTTGTTGTCGCCATTTGTCTTGTTTGCACGATTCGTTCTGGTAGCCTCCAAGTTAGCCAAATCCACAGCTTGTTGCACTTCTGATTTGGTGACCTTGGACTTTGCAAGCAGGTTTCGGAGGAGGTCGCCACATGCGATCTCTCCTCCTCGAGCCTCGCCCGCGAAAGCCTCACCTTCTGCTACTTCCAAATCCCCTCTTGCGATGTACACATTCTCGACCTCTGCATGTGCTGCTGCTGCCTTAGCCATCAGCGCCCTAGCGTCTGAAGACTGCCAGTGTTTTGACATTGCCTTTCGAAGGTCTGAGAATTGATCCCAAGAAATGTATGGAAGCCCGTTGTACACGTTGCACTTCACCTCACGCATTCGCCCAGCAAAAGGATATGTAACCTTGGCACCTTGACCAGTCCACTCGAATATTCCACCCAAGTCCACCAATCGCACTACCCCCAAAATCCACTCGCTGCCTGTTGCTTGTAGCACCACCTCCCCTTCCTTTGTCCGAAAGCCCTGCGCTATGTCCCCGGATGCAAGAACCACATTCATAGGTATCGCCTTCTTCTTGCAAATATCCTCCCTGAAAGGCCGCAGGACTTCGTTGGCACCTGAGTCAATTAAGACTCGACATGGCTCCTCCGCTTCTTGTTCACGTTCTGCACGCGCATGCTTGGCTACAGACCATGCTTAGGAACTGTCGGCGGCGCCTTTCTTGGGAGGGCAGGCGGTGCCTGCTTTGGTTGTGGCTGCTTAGGCTTAGGAAGGATAGGTAACTGCTGAGGTTGCGAGGTCGATGGCGAAAGGGTCGGTGGTCTTTTGACCGGTGGAGGCTTGATGACAGGTGTACTGATGTTGTCATGGCTTGTTGTGGCTCCTCCTGAACCTGCGCACGGAGGTCCTGAGGTCTTAGGTGGACTCGCTGCCGGCTCCTTTGGTGGAGCTGCCTTGGAGAGCTCTGGGATCAAGTCCACCCGGCTGTCCTGCGGATATTCAGCTTCCCAACCTCGTACTACAGGTGATCGCTCCGATTCCGCCAGTGCCAAAAACTGTTCCTGCCCCGAGTCCACATCGAGAACCCATACCACATAGCCAGGTCGCACTACCTCGTCTTCATGCATCAGAAGGATCCTGTTAGCCTTCAAGATGACCTGTCCTTCTCCAACTTCGGCATCCTCCAACTGCTCAGGGTATCCATTCCAGGCCAGCGTAAACCATATTCCCACTGCAATCGCGGTGGGACTATCCACCATGCGGAATTGTCCGTAGGCCCTTGCGCAGATCCAAGATGGATTTTGCTGCCATTGCAAAAACTCTTCTGGTTGCATGACCAAGTACCACAAAGGTGATCTAGAGAGCGTCGGATTTCGCATGATCAGATTATTCGCACCAAGTGGATCCATATCAGAACTTCCTTGTTCCTCATCTGAAAGGGCAGTGAGAAGGTTTCATCCGATGTATGCAGAAGAGATTCATCTGTCATGTGCGATAGGACCACTGACGGCTCCGATTCATCCTCGTCGTTATTCTCCTCCTGTCGTGCAGCCATTATACACGATCTCACTGCAGCTGCCTTTGCTCCAGCTCCCACCAACGCAACTGCTGCCTTTGCCTTTGCTTTTGTCTCGGCTTTGGGCCGTGGGACTCTCCTTGAGTCCTCGTTGTTCCCTGCCTCTGCTGCTGCTGCGGCTGGTTGCTTTGGCGTTGCCTTTGCTTCTGCTCCTTTAGGCTTATTAGGGGGATTAGTCGGCTTCCTTTGGTCCTTTCCTGATTTTGCATCTGCTCCTTTTCCTTTGCCTTTGCCCTTTCCTTTTGACGCCTTGGGTGCTGCATGGGAATACTCACACGCACTCCCTTTGACACAGCCGCGCTCCGACAAATGGAATTTGCAGATGATGTCCTTGGGGTTTCTCTCGCTGCCTCCCTTTCCTCCCTTGCTGCTGACTGCTTGCGACGCGGAAGGTTGTTCAATTTGCACTCCTTGGTTTGCACGATTACGAGCCACTTCATCCTCTGCTTGAAGCCTTCGTCCCTCCTGCGGTAACATTGCCATCAATCGAGTTATCCCCAGATCCGATGGTACCAGTACCTCAGGGCTCGTTCTCACGAGATTCAACCTCATCGCAAGTGATGGGTTCCGCTTCTCCAACAACTTTGTCATGCCGTCCAATGACTTGCTCACTTCGTGAGGCGGTAGTCCCGGAAGGTTCAAGTGCTCCGTTCTCATTCGCGCAATGTCGTATTTTCGTAGCGTGTCCAACAATTCTCGGTATGAGTTGGCCGCTGGCAGATTCCGCTGGAAGTTTAACAAGGAACTCATCTCGGATGTCCCACCCGGTGAAAAACGCTCCATCACTGCCTCCAACATAAGAAGTGTTGACACAGGTTGGTCTGGTCGAAGGTGTCGCTCCATTACTGGCTGTCGAATTTCCTCTGGCAAGACCTTGATAAGCAGCACCCCCAGACGATTTTCATACTCCTTCTCAGTCGTGGCGTTGTAGGTTCCATCTCTCCCTGTTGCCTCTGCTGATACCTCTCCAGCGCCTCCTTCAAACGTCGTCGAAAGAAAGCTCCGAAGGTTGGCGCGACCGCTGCGGCTATTGACGTGACCTCATTCTCCCATTGTCTCAACACCAATCCTAACTCCCATGGTTCGCCTGGAATCAGTCTCAGCTGTGGACATTCCTTTACGTAACATCTTCCATGCTCCCGGATGCACCTTCTCATAGGCATGCCCGCTTGCCATTCTCCGAGCTGCTTCGGGTAGAGGTGGCGGTGCAGATGTGGGCTGAAAGAGTCCAGGAGGTCGGGATTCTTGCGTCATAGTCCACGAGTTCATGTCTGCAGCCTCCTCCTCAGCCTCATACCAATCATCGGCATGCGGCGGCTGCTCCATCTCGGGCGACATCTCGTACCATTGAGGCTACGACTGCTCCACCAACGTCGTCCGTGGCGCTTGCGCTGCCTGACAGGCTCCCTGCTCAGGCGATGAAGATGATATGAACTTCACGCCCTTGTGAGGTGATGGTGCCCTCCAAAGACGTTCCCGCTCCTTCATGTCCTTTTCTATCTGCTCACATTTGACCTTCAACTTCTCGGTCACCACATGCACTGCATTGAGTTGACATAGGGTCTGCTGACACTCCTTCTGTTGGGCACTCAAGCGCTCATCGGCCTTGCGCACCGCCGTCGAAAGCGTATCAAACTGTGCCATGAGATCCCCCATCGTGGCAGTATGGACGGACATCGCCTCCACAGCTTGCTTCCACGACGCAGGATCAGCATTTTGCATCTTCTCCATTGTTTCGCGTGTAAGGTCGAAAGCTTGGTTCATGCCCACGACTCGTGCTTGCACCTCATGGATAGCTTCAGTCTGTGTTCCCAGAGCCCTTTCCAGCCTCTCTACAGCAGAGTCCAAAGCTACAAGGCGCACGGTGTGATCATCATGCTCACACCTCAGCTTTCCAATCTCTGACTGGATCTGATGCCGCTCGTGGTCGACAACTGAGCAACTGCCGCTAGTGCAGCTGAAAGCTTTTCTGTTCTCCCAGTGAGCTCTGACGCCAACATGTTCACCCCATGTCTCAAGTTGTCAAGATCTTGTAGGCCTTCAAGATTGACACTCGCCAGTTTCTGCAAACTACTCATGATCTCGCCAGGCACCTGTAGCTGCGCCATAGACCGAAACACGATAGCTGGAGCTTCTGCTGGGGCTTGTTGTTGTTGATGTTGTTGTTGTGGTGAAGGTGTGTGTGGAGTTACGCCCGTTGGGCTCATAACCTGTTGGTTATGAGGGGTGTCAGTGATGTGGCTGAAATGTGATGGTGCTGGGCTGAGGTTGTCTCGTATGCTTATGGGTAAGTCATCTAAGGGATTATACCTCTGAGCATCCATCTCATCACCACCCCTACGAAAGAAGTAACCCTCAAGCCCCCCAACACCCTGAACAACCTGGGTTCAGGACTAGGGAACCAGAGATGGGGTTCGGGTGGAGACTAGGGTACCGGGCTACACCCAGGGGAGAACCCTGATGCGTGCGCTGAAGTGAACCACCCCCAGTCGGGACACTTCTCGATTTGTGCCTCATCTTGAGCCAACGTCGAGTTGGCATAGTTTATGGTCGCACCTGATTTGTGCGTGTCATCCTTGCAGCAGGGGCGATGCACCTATCACAAACAAGAACGAAAACGTAAGGTGAGTTAAGGAACTCTGTTGATGCTTTAGCACAAGGATGTTCGTTTTTTTTTAAAGTATGTGAAAGCTCCGGATTGCAGGGCCCTTGAATTCAGCATCTGTCTTGACATGAAATTTGGTGATCCTTTCTACAAGGGCCCCCATCAGATCTTCCAGATGTGACTTGTTTTAACCTCCCCGCGTACCTCGTCCCAAAGGAGGTGCTCATGAAGGGTCTTCCGAATGCGGCTGATCCCTCGGAGCTCTGTCTTGTGATCGGTCGTTCGGACTGATGGCAGAGGTTGTTTTGGAATTGGCAAGACATGTGTTGCAGGCTTTATGTGTACTAACATCGTGCAGGTCGTGTAGGGCCATGGTGCCTGTAGGTCGTTGTGGTCCGCAGCTCTTGAAACTTCTTCGCGGAACTCTGCCGTCGGTCGAGGCAAACTCGCGGTCTAGTACACTAGGTGTTCATCTTCCATTTCGCCGGAGTCAGGACCACTTGCCGGTCGGGGCGGTGCTGCGGCTATTGCCGGCCACAGCAGCAGAGGCCCAGGCAGAGCAGAGCTTTTGGGGATAGCATTGAGTCAAGGCCTTTGTGGAGCAAACTCGCCTTCCTGTCAGGCCGAGAGCGGCCCTGCAGAGTTGCTGAGGGAAGCTCACGAACTTTGGGAGGCACAAGGGGGCTGCAAAAAGCCGAAAACAAAGAGGCAAATAGGCAAGAAGAAAGCAGGCAGAGAAAGCACCAGTTCAAGGCAACAGGGAGAAAGCAGAGAGCTGGAAGCAAAAGAGGGCACACTGGAAGCAATTTATCAACAGTGATTGTGAAGACTTCGGGGGTAAAGACGTTTTGATTCGTGGGAAGCAGCATGAAATTGCCGACTGTCAACATCATGGTGCCTGCGATAAAGCGCTTAACGCAAGGGTTGAAAGCAAGCATGCCTTGTATGCGCAGCATAAGCCGCTCTCGAGCTATGGATATTTTGTGTTTCTTTCTACGCAAGTTCCTTTATGTTACCCGCCCAGAGGCCTGCAGTTTCAATTGTGTCGACTTGCACTTGAGAGTCTTCTTGCTCTGATTGGTTTCTTTCTATTTGCCATTTTGTTCTCGCGCCGCCTAGGTGTGGATGAGAGTTTACAACGGTTTCTTATACAGTCCCTTTTCCTTGTTGAGCCTATGCAATTCACCCTAGTTCAATCTTATGTCTTGAAAGTGCAGCACCCAGAAATCAAGCAGATTCTTGAGGCTTAGCCCTTGGGCCTAAGGCTTTAAGTTCAGGTGAGCATCGGGTCGATGATGCTTACTTTGGGGTGTGGCGGGGTTCGAACAATGGAGCATCGAAAATCGTGCGAAAACCAGGGCGACCCCAGCAGGTTCCAAGATTAGGAGCCCGGGCCACCATGGGACTTCGGTCGCCATGGCATTGCTGAAGGCATAATCTGAGGATTCGGTCGTGCTTTGTCGGTTTTCTTCGGCAAGCAGTGTAGGCTCATGGGAGTTTACGGGGCTTTTGTGAATTTTTCAAGCTGTGCCTGGAGCGAGGCGTGTCCGCTGTCCCAGGAGCAGCGGGATGCATACCTTGCCTGCGAAGAGGCCTTTGAGCTTGATAGGGCCGCCAACAGCTGTTGGAATCATTTGGAGCCGTAACGACTATGGACCCGTGAGCTGCGTGGAAGCTGCGTCCAGGCGCTCTCTTCAGCCCGGCCGAGTGGACGCCCGACCCCAGAAGTGCTCCAAGCTTTCGAGGTTCTTTGTGATGGAACGTGTTCATGAGGGGCATGCTTTTTCGAGAGCTTCCGGGGATCAAGGGTCTGACTAGGATGGTTTCTGAATTGGGATTGGGGTTCGTTCAATTACCTCAATCCATCAACTGCTGAAAAGTGCTGGCTAGCCCACTTCAAAGCCCCGAGACTCCCAAGTCCATGTTTCAGGAGTCTTTTATTGGTTCCGTGGCAAGAATCGAAATCTGAGTCCCTTGCAAGGCTGCCAAGCAGGCCTTGCAAGCCTGCGTTGTGGCCCTCCCAGCCGATGCGCAGCAGATGCTGGAGCGCATCAGCGAGCTCCGCAAGCAGGCGCTCGGGGAAGGAGGGACCCATCTCCATTGAACCACCTCCACGAGTCCGGCAACAAGCCTTGGGCTCGAAATTTCTCGTTTCTTGAGATGCCAGCACGTCCTCCACTCCAGTCACAAATGAGAGCCGCAAGCACACCCGGCAGCTACAGTATTCCAGCCTCGCTGTATTTCGAAGGCCCGGAAGGCTGAGCAGCGTTTGGCCCGGCAGAGGGACAAGGACACTTCTAAGCGTCGAGCAGTTGCGGGGATGCTAGTCATGGTCCGGGTTGTGAGGAGTCTATGCCAGTGGCGTTCATGGTTTGAGGGCTTTGCGGTGAGTTTCGGACCGCATTTTCCCGAAGCTGCAGCTGTTTTGTTTGGGCGGGCGAAGCTAACATCAGCAGGAGGTAGCCGGCCCTGCCTTGGTGCCGCCCATTGTTTAAGCTTGTATGTGATGGACCTGTGTGGCTGCGCTCTTCAAGGCTTGGCAGCTCTCTCTCTCTCTCTCTCTCTCTCTCTCTCTCGCTCATTCTCAGCATCTTGAAGCACTTATATATCCTCCCAGGATGCCAAGGACGCCAAGACGAAAGCACTGTAGAGAGGAGAAATGGACCGGGAGCCCCATCCTTGGAGACCTCTCTGGATGTTTTCAAGGAGTTATGCAGATTTATGTCTCAAATTTATGTGTTTTACACCGAGTGGTTCTCAGCGCTGAAGGTGTTTGGACGTCGTCAAGCAGTGAGAAGCTTTGGTGACCACGATGCTCGGTAAGCCTTCCCACGCTCCTCTGCCTGTACTCGCAGAGGTTTTCGGGCTTGGAGTCCTTCTGCGTCAAGATTACGAGAACCGCGTCTCAAAATCAGATTCGCGGGCCCGGCTTTCGAGCGCGGCTACAAGCTAAGACCCTGCCGTGAGAAACCAAAAAAAGTGTCTGCTCGACTTTCGGGGACCTCGTCGACGTTTGACAGATCATGTCCTCCACATGTCAGCTTTTCGCAGCTTAGCTATGCTTCGCCTGAAGTTCGCATGTGTTTCAACCGGCCCCTCTGACTTCATGTACGTATGGCATCTCCATACAACACTGCGTGCCCATTAAACACTGCATGCGGAAGACGACTTTTCCGCGAGCGTTGGTAGTTCGCCAGCTGTCAGGGTTGCTCGGAAGAAATGCTGCCCGCATGTCGACAGTCATGTGCTTGCGACTTTGCAGCCCTGGCCCCAGATCACAAAACCTAACTCCGTTGTGCACCGCGCCTGTTTCAAAATTAGGGTCTTTCAGGAGCAAGACAAGGCCAAGAAGCAAGCAGGTTCCACATTCAAACAACGGGACGGTGCATTAGTCCTGTCTTTTCCTGCCAGGCTTGATGCATAATTAGCTCAGCAGCTTAGCACGTGAGCCTTGTGCCATAGTACTCCTTGCTGCTCGCTGCCAGGCCAGCATTGACTGAATGTCGGGCCAAAGCCTACTCGCTCTGTACGTAGCATTCTACATTGCGAATATCGTCTTTGAGTTGGGTCCAGATTGTTCGGGGCGAGAGATTGCTCGCAGATCAGATTCTGCAAGTGAGCCGTCTGAGCTTTCTGCCTGCTTTCACAGGCGGGGATGTGGTCGCATCTCGATGGCACTGGCTTGTGTGTGCGAGAGTGGGGGAGTCAAGCCGTGTGAGCGTTTTAGATGTGTTTCTCAAGCAGGTGGCAGCGGGTGGGAACCCAATAGACATGTAATGGGAGATGAAAATTTTGCAATGGAAGGTCATAAGAATTTCACAGGGAACAGGCAAGTAGTGTGAGTTTATGCGGAGCTGACCTGTGTGTAATACCGCATTACAAGACAATATCAAGAGTTCAATGTCAAAACAGCTCATATTTTTTTGTGTTGTTGTTATTATTATATTTTCTCTCGCTCTCTCTCTCTCTCTCTTTCTCTCCAACTCCCCCTCCCTCCCTTCTTTCTTCCGCCGTGTGCGAAGCAGATTCCTGTTCCATGCAGCTGGAATGCAACAGGCACCCAACTCAACATAGGTTGTATTGCTCGTTGAAACTTGTCTGTTGGTCTTGCTGAAACCACAATCCCGACCTCAGATAGCTCGACAGTAAACCCTGAAGACTTGAACTTCAAACTCTGGGTACAAGTAAGCCTAAGCACTGAAGCCCTCGCCATCCAGTCGAGGAACCTTCCCGAGGGTACAGACCTGGCAGCGCTGTCCCACGGCGACTGTAGGGGCCAGAAGGGGCAACAAGGGCCTCAGGTGTAGAGAAGGACCTCTAGTTGGAGTTATGGGGGTCTCTGTCTGTGTCCGTGTCTCTCTGTGTGTCTCTGTCTGTGTGTGTGTGTGTGCGCGCGAGCGTGCGCGTCTGTGTGTCTGCGTGTATCTGTTCAGGCCGTATCTTTGTGGGTTGTGGGCTTGGCGATAAGGACATAGGCAAGGATTCTGTAGAAGCTCGGGAGTGGGGGTGGGCATTTGGATTGCAGGGCTACTGGGGTTGGCATTCGCAGGTTCAGGTTGAGTTGTGGATGTGAGGTCTGAGTATTCCTTCGTTTTCCTTTCCGGAACCCGCGTACTCCTGAAGCAGAGTTGCCAGACCTTGTTTCTTTCGCCCCAGGGCGCCCGAATGCGGACGAACCCGGGCCCCAATCACCGCAAGGCCTCGCAAAGTTCCAAAGTGAAACGCCTCGAAGGTTGCTGGTTGGGGGCAGCGATGGCTTGGATGACACGATGCGGCTGCGGCAGGCGGGGTTGATTACTTTGTTTGCGTGTGCGTCCTGCCCTAAGCGCACAGATTTTCACAACCTTGTAACAAAGCTCCAGATCCACGTCCTCTTGTGAGATGTCATGCGCAGTGCAGAACCTGCCGTGCCCCGTAAAGGCTTTTGGGGGGCTGCTTTGTGTGGCCAACACAAGGAACAGAGATTGCCAAGTTTCGCAGGGAAAGGCCACAGACTTTCGCAGGGCAGGCTTTTATAGGCAGCTGCCAGCGGCGCCGAGGGGAGAAGGGGCAAATCACTTGAGCTCCGGTGATAATGCCAGGACATGGGGTCTTGTTCACCCCACATGCCTGCAAGGAGATTTGTGACGCCTGCTGTGTGCCACATCCTTTTATCATGCAAGCCATGCCCAGCTATTCGCTGATTTGAACTTGTGTGTGCGCCAGAACGATGACGACATGTGAAGGCAACATAGCTCGGAAAGCAGTCAGCGCAGGTTGAAGAACCTGAAACCTTAGAAAGTGTGAAAGCAGTATGCAAGCAGGGACCGGGCACATGCTTTGGCTGTCAGTCCAACGAAGAGAACGAATATATGGGAGGAAGGATTCCTTTGTGCGCACATGCGCGCCCCTGCATCACGGTTTGTGGCACACTGCGCAATGCACGCTGCATGTGCCGAGCTACATAATGTGATCTAGTCGATGTGCAAGCACGAAACTTACCCCTCCACCTGACCTTGTTATGCACCTTGGATCTAATGCACTCTGGAATGCTGTTTGGTGACCGCCAAGCATTTCACTCAGGAACCGCTCGAAGTGGCCTCGAAAGATAGCATGGTCAATTGTTGCGCGAACGTGCCTGTAAGTTGTAAGTATTTGTGCTTGTGGGCGAGCGTGCGTGCTTGTGGGAGTCTGCAAGTTTTTGAAGACAAATGTAATGGCTGCTCTTGCCAACTTACTGCATTGGAGCGTGTTGCATGCACGGACTCAGTGGGTTGAGCGAGAACAAGAGAAGCCTTTTCAGGTTAGTCGCCGTTTTCAAGGGCTTGCGGAGCACGCTGCGGGGCGCCTTGTACACCTGGTGCTACAGGTCAAGTCATAGATGCGGCCATTCATTAGTATGCTTTAGAATGCGTCTGATGAATGATACAAAAGTGGCAGAAGAGACCCGCTAACCATCTAAATCACGCCCTGATGAACAATGCCTCTTGAAGCCTTTCTTGCATTCCAGGTGCCATCTGCACGACGCGGATGCGACGGTGCGTATGGAAGCTTTAAAAGCTGCCATTCATGCCGCTGAAAACGGAAATCTGGGAAAGCAACTTGCCCAGAAGATAGACACTCCAGTGCCGACTCGTCTGCAAGTCTTGCCAGTCAAGATGTTCACCTACTTTGTTTGATCATGTAAACCATGTCATGATCTGAGAATCTGCGGTGTGCTGGGCCGCATCTTGGCGGCAGCTCTGAGTCCCCAGCTGTGGTTCTGAATGTTCTGAAGCGCCTGGACAGACGTTCTGACATTTTTGTACTTTTCGGGGCGGCTTCACGCCGCTGCCAGGTGTCGATGACGAAAATGCAGCTGTGAGGCTCCGTGGTTGTTCCTTTGAGGGTGCCGCACAGCATTATCTTTCAATGTTGTGGAAGGCAGCTTGCTACCAGCTCGCTGTCGTACCTCCTGATGGAGGATGGGTAGTGTTTCGTTCTCAGCTGTAGATTGCTTTTCCGAACACTACCTATACAAGGGTTGCTACAGTGACAGAAGCTGAACGCTCCCCGGTTAGAAGGGTTTCGACGAGAGGGTGTTGGCAGAAGTGGCAGTCGGAGCTGAAGTTCGTTCCAGCAATCTCGAGTCTCACAGCTCAAAACATTCGGACTGGGCGTTATGCGTATGTTGAACCATTGCTCGCGCTCCTTGCAGGACGACCACGAGGCACCTGCAGCAAGGGCAGCGGGAGTGCAGTGTGGTCCCCAGAGGTGTAATCAGCGTGGAGGGCTCTGGAGCTTTGGGATTGGGGGATGTTCGTTTCCTGAAGGAATTTTGGACTGGTTTATGGTTCAAGGGACCGTTTCCAGATCTCTCGGTGTTTAGGTTTCAGGAGGAATCGAGTTTGGACTTCTGAGCCGAGGCGGCTGCTGGACTCTGATGGTGAGGCGGGGGCAGCTTGCACCGACCCCTTTTGCTAGGATTCAGTGCACAGGCCATAATTCTGTTCACAAATGATAGGAGAGCATGGCAAGTGCATCAAGTGCCAGCCTTAGCTCTGTCCGTCTCCATGTGCCTCTCGAGGTGCGGAGCGCTGCACGCATGCTGCTCGGAGCTGTGGCACACGGACACGAGGTTGTGGCAGCACGTCTCAAATGAAACCTGGTGAGACCTTGCGCCAAAATGGCCAATTTGCATCCAAACGCCTTCAAGCTCGAAGCCAAGCCTCACACATCCTCATGGGCTTAACTCCTCAAGGACCGCCCAGCCGCATGCAACCGCCTTTGAGGATCTTTGAGGGCAATGAAGCATTGAAAGGGCGAGGCTCTGTAGGAGGGGGAGGCTTTTCGGGACTTGGGCACTTGGACTGCCAGAGCCCCGCAGCAAATAAGAAAGCTTCCCAATGTCATTCTGCAGAAATGTCGGGGATACGGGAGACCTTTTCCATCGTTACAGGTAACTTCAACGGAAGTCCTCGGTTCTTCCGTTGAACGGCTTTTCTTGCCTTTCTCGATCAATGCCTGGAGATGCCGGGAGCAAGGAAGCCTTGCAATATCCTTGCAATGTCCTCCAGACTTCTACACGAGGCCGGTAAGGCTAAGCGAAGCTGGAATGGCCGAGTCGGCAGCCAAGGTCTCAGCACTTGCAGGCATCATGCAGAGCCGCGAAGAGGACTGTAGAGGGGGCTGTAGGGGACTGCAGGGCGCTGTCGGGAACTCTGAGGATTGTAGGGTGGAGCGCGATCCATGTGCCAACCATTGGTCCAGAAGGTGTAGAAAGCTGTATAACATTTTGTTCTGAGAGCCACCAAAGAAAGCCTCCGCTCCACTGCTACGAGGATTGGCTGCGGCAGGAGGCCGTGGAGGCATTGTCGTTGTTGGCCAGCCGTGGGAATGGCGAGGTGGGGGTGTTGCATTGTGTCATATCGTGTCTCAAGAGATTGGCCTGCAGGGGAATCTCACACATGTAAGGGTGCCATGCTTGGAAGGAGGTGGTTCAACAGCTTTGTTCGGATCAGCAGATTATGCTGTTGTGAATGTTGCATTGGGCGCATGTGCATCTCTTGTTGTGCAGGCATGTAAGGTGGACTAGAGTGGAGCACGAGTTGCCCGCAGGGCTGGCAGGACAAATGCAGAAACGCCCAGAACCTAAACCAAAGCGCAATTTTGCAGTGTGCAACCAGCGCAGCTAGGCAGGTGGCAAAAAGAAACCCAAGCCTTGAAATCACATCCTGACCTGTGGGCCAGGTGTAAAGAAACCACGAATTACTGTAGGGACTTTTTGTCCTCGGCTTGTTCCTGCCTTCAACGACAAGGGTTTTTGTCACGCAGTTGTTGCCCTTCAGGGCACCTGCAGAACAGCTTTTAGAGGTTGACTCTATGTCTTTGCGCCTTCGGACCCAGAGCACTTGCCAGGCCCTGGCCGCAGTCGTGCGGGGCCTCACGGACCTGTGCTGTGGCTCTGTGGGGCTTGGAGAGGTTGAGGGTTTTTTAAGGTCTCATGGTCACGGACATGTTTCTTTTGGATGCTTGGGGGGGGGCCTGGAAGGCCCGTACAAAGCTTTTTTCTCATGGGAGCGTCAACTCGCGGCCCTCGGCTCCTCTACTCCCGTTGCCGATGTTTGTTTACCTTGAAACCTTAATGCCTTTGCTCCCTTTAGGTCCAAGTTTGCTGTGCAGCGCTTTGTCTAGTGCTCGGTTTGATGCTTGTCAGGACCCAAGTCTCGCGGTGCGGCGCGAGGCTGTAGCGGCGCTCGGTGACGTGCCTCTGCTGTGAGATGGGAGCCTTGTGATGTCTAAGCTTTCAGTATCCTGCAGTATGATTTCCATCTTCGCGAAAGTCTACGCATTCTACGCTCCCATGCTAATTTGGTGGCGTATGGTTGCCTTCAGTCTGAGGTGGCGCCGTTCTGCGATCGCGAGGGAACTACCCTGTTATGCCAATGCTGCACGGAGGCTGTGCCCGCAACTGGAGGGCCTTGCCAGCATGTTTGGAGTGAACAGTGGCATGGCTTGGCTTTGTCTCTTAGGATCCGGATCCCACCGTGCGCTGTGCACTGGCACATGCAAGCACCATCATCTCCCCGTGGGGCGACCCTGCAATGACTGCCGATGCTCAGCAGAGACTGGACTAACGGAGGTCTTGGTACTGCAAAGTTGCCGTCAGGTTCACGATTCTCAGGGTGTGTCTAGCCTTTCGGGCTCAGTGGTGTATGGCCATACAGTGTGATTTCAGAGACCGATGCGTCTATCATGATGGCACCTACGGCCCCGCATACCCAGTCGACATGCGATACGAGCAACATTAGCATGACTGATCAGTATCATGTTGGTCGTCGCAAGACACCAAGCTCCAAAGTGAATAGGCCATTGCAATCATCACTGCGCCAGAAAGTACATTCTGATTTAATGAGCAGAGAAATGCCGTGGCAGCAATAGCCGCGATGGTAGGTTGGAAGTTTCTTGATTTCTTCCCAAATCCTTTAGCATCCCCAAGCACACGGCGCTTGCTTGAAGTACAGCTGGAGGGGGTTGTTCCAGCGAGGCTTTGGTGGGCCTGCTGCAGGACACCCATGCTGAGGCACGGCTTGTCAGGGGTGAGCTTCCATGAGACCTACATTGCTTACACACTTACACCAGAAGCTGTCAGCGCGACGGTAATTCTGCTTTTGCTCTTGCCGTGAGGTGCGAATTCGGGCTGTCAGTGCCCTCGGCACAGTGACTAGGTTGCCTTCAGGACTTTGCTTGTAGACTGGAGCAACCGACTGACTGCAGTTTCTCTCTTTCAAAGTACAAGATATCAATCACTAAAATAAATCTGTCAGCTCCTGAAATCATCTCTGTCTGAGGTGGCTCGGCCGTCGGACAAAGAGACAGTAGAGGCGGTGGCGGCATGCGAAGAGGACTGTCAAGAAGATCGGAAAAGTTTGGGAGACCACCTTGACATTTCGGGAGTTCTTGCTTGCCGGAACGTCTTGCTTGCTTGAGTCGTGCGCGCAGGGGTCGTTGGTGATGGTTCTAAGTGTATGGCTTCCGGTTGGCATTTTGCAGCTCAGGCGTTGGGCATCTTGAAGTGCCGAGCCTGTGCAAACATCAAAGGGGACCATGGTTGACCCACGGGAAGGTTACACTCTGGTTGCACTCTTATGGAACCCTCGTGGCGCCTCATATCACGCCAAAGGTAGGAACAATCCCCAAGCCAGGATGCGGATGACCGCGTTCGCTCGGCTGTACAGCGTTCTTTGGCGCTGCTGGCTCCGGCTTCTGTGGAGGAGGCTCTGCCAGGGCACGTCGTGAGTTGGCCACCTCGCATGTCAAGCTGCAGCAGACATGGGCCATGACAGGTGTCGCTGCCTTCTCCTGAGCCCATCGAGGGCGTCAAGTCCAAAAAGGCAGTCTCTGTTGTAGAAAGAGAGGGAGAGGGAGAGAGGGAGAAGAGACAGGCAAGCCATTTTGGCTCAGGCAGTCCTCGCCTCGCCTCTACTCCTGTGGACCCTAGGAAGACCTGCGCCCCGGCGGGCATGGGCGCTGTGCTTGCTGGCTGCGACGTTGTGGACAACCAGGTGCGCCAGCCCTCGCAGCCGGATCTGGAGGCACGGGCTTGGGGAGCGACGACCTGCAAAAGGAGAATCACCGCACTGCGTAACACCTACAAACGCTGCAACAGCAAAGGACCTCGGATGGAATGCCGCCGGAGAACGACACGACCGACGACACCGACGAGAAGAACCAGGACGTCGTCGAGGACGCCGAGCACAACAGCCAGGCGGAGAACCAGGGACAAACAGTACAGTGGCGAACGCGGACACCGACGGGGACCGTCGATTGCCTAACCAAGGACCCGTACGTGTACTACAAAGCGTACCGGCGCCGCGACAGAGGCAACCAATCCCCAACGGTCGCGCTGTGTCGCCTGGGCGCTTCCGGCCCTTCTGTTGCTGTGCTTTGGCGGCTGTCCTCGTTCCGCAGGCGAGCTTCCTGCGCCGTCAGCATCCTCGGCCCCGTTCACGGTGTCTGGCCAGACGACGGTCTCTTGTGACTGCGAGAGAGGACGTGGGCTGCGTGCTCTGCTTTTATTGTCTTTGTTGGGGAGATGAGGAGTCCACGTGGTCTGGGACGGCGTGGTCGCCTGTTCCGGCCGGTCTCCTTTTCCGCATCTTGCGGGTTCCACCAAACGTCCGGGCCGGCAGCGTCGCGTCCATACAGCCACGGTCTTGCCACCATCCTTGTTCAGGCGTGGCTTCCGGTTCAACCCGACAGAGCGCACGAGCTGCACGCAACAGCCGGGGCCCAGTCAGTCGAGAAACGACTAGCGGACGACGAAAGGGAAGAAAGGGGCCGTGCGCGACAAGTACAATTGGAAGAGGAACGGTTGGTGGAATGGCGTGGCTACAAACTATCATCGACGACTGCTACGAGCACAACAATGAGGGAAGGCCGCCGGACACAGACTCAGCTGAACAAAGAACCAGCAGCGACACGAACCTCGAAAGAAAACTTTCGTAAAACATCGGTCAAAAAGCCTCATGGGGAGCACCCGACAAGCCAGAAGATGGGGGCCCGAACACAGCAGAGACCCACTTCTATTTGGTTTGATGTTAAAGCGGTCAAGAGGATACTGATGCTCTAAATAAATTTGGGTAGAGGGTAAAGTGTCTGAGAGAAATTGCTTGGGCAGTCGGGGCGGCCCCAACCCACGTACGTGCACGTCGGCGGTCCAAGCAGTGCACCTGGGAGTTTCCAGTCTGCGTGGTCGGGCTGCAGATACGGGCAATGCGCTAGATGCCAAGATGCCGCAATGAACACATCCCATATCACGACTGTTCAGCTTGGTCATTGACAAGTGTTTCAAAGCTGCCGGGAGGGGTTCTCCAGCGGAAAGCTCACTTACTCCTTTCGTGTTGGCTTCTCTCCCGCGCTCTTTTTCCTCGATTTGCACTCGCTTTGTCTTGCTTTTTCCCGTCTTACCCGTCTTGCCCTTGGCGAGAAGAAGAAGAAGAAACGAAGAAACCGGGACAGCATGGGATTGCCAAAGGGGTGTACGTGAGCAGTTCAACACAGTGATGTACCGTATGGTCTGTTATGGTTGCCCAGCTTTTAGCACCGACAAAATGGTGCAAGTTTATCAGTTATAAGGGAAACCCAGCATGACCTCCAGGCAGCACTTTGGCGAGCTGAGCCGCATGCGGAGGAACTTTGCCTGGTGCCTGCGCCCAGAGCGTCTTCGCGTTTGGCAGGGATTGGGACAATTTCCATGGGCCACCCCTGCTTGAGCATCCCCACCTTGAAACCAGTGGTTCACGCGAGGGTTTTAAGGGCTTCGAAATGTTAACGAGTGGCCCTCGTGTTCCAGAGATGTTCAGGCGTACGGGGTGGAGGTTCATGTTGCCTTGCACAAGTGGGTTGTGAGGGTTCACGGTGGAGGGTTGCAAAGCAATTCGGCAACTTCACTGTCTGCACCCTCGTCCGCAAGCATGCTGCCAGAAGTAACATACTCAGACATCAGAGTGGCGACATGGGGCCCGCGATGCTGGCTGGAATGCATGATGCAGGAGCTAGACTTCCAGCGCGTGCATGGCATGGTAGTGCATGAACGATCGGACAGCTGGCTTGATGATGATGACAGGACTCCAGTCGAGTATATATAGATATCTATTTTTCATATTAATTCATGTAAATATGTAAATAAAAAAATAAATATAAATACAAATATAAATATAAATATAAATATAGGTATAAATATAAATACAAATATAAATATAAATATAAATATAAGTATAAATATAAATATAAATATAAATATAAATATAAATATAAAAATAAATATAAAAATAACAATAAAAACAAAAATAAATATAAATATAAATATAAATATAAATATAAATATAAATATAAATATAAATATAAAGGCGCGGGATTCAAGACGCCCCTTATTTCCCTGTGACTGTCTACGAAGTGTAGTTTTTCTTGTATTTGCCGTCTGAATCGGGTTCCTTACTCCCAAATTACCACTTCTTGAGCTCTTTAGTATGGCCGAATATTTAGGACGCCCCTGGGTTCTTCGCTCATTTCTCCGACAGCAGCTTCACACCATTGAAGATGATGATGTGTGATATGTTGCGATGCTGATCATCTAGTATGGTCGAAACACTGGGCTCCAACCCCTGAAATCCAAACAACTGACCAACGACACAGCACTTAAGACTTACCAAACACACCTATGCCGAGCGCGGGGCCTACATATTCAGCCTAACCACCTGATCGTATGGTAAACACCCGATTCCGGGAGAAACGCCTTTAAACACCAGAAACCTCTCTTTTTAAAATTAAAACCAAGGGACGTCTTAAATCCCGCGCCCGGCTATGAATATATGCTCACCCCCCCCCCCCCTTGGACAGACCCCGGAAGCGAAAAAAAGGCTGAGGGCGCGACGAACAGCATAGCTGCACACAGTGGGGTGCATAGGATTCATTTTGTTTTAATAGGAATCTGATTACATGAAGAGGAAACCCTTAAAAATGAATGAGAACCCTTAAAACTATTAAATTCAACGGAAACCCTGTTCAAATGACAAAACCCTGTTTAAAGTTGATAGGAATCATATTACATTTGTAGGAGCCTTATTAAAAATAGGCAAACTATGAAATTTTTTTGGAATCTTACAAACACAAATAGGAAGCCTCTACTTAAATCCATAGGAACCCTATTAAAATTAATCGGAACTGTATAAAAAGCAACAGGAAGCTATTAACATGAATAGGAACCCTATTAAAGTTAATGAGAACCCTATTATAATTAATAGGAATCCTCATAAAATGAAGAGGACCCCTACTAAAATTAATAGGAACCAATGGGACTCCTATAAAAAAATGTGAACCCTTAACTAATAGGAAACCTACTAAAATTAATATGAGCCTAAACCAATAGGAATCCCTTTCAAATGCATGAGATCCCTATTAAAATTAATACGAATCCAATGAACATGAGTAAGAGCTCTGAAATTGGTATGAATCTTATTGCATTAGTAGGAGCTTTATCAAAATAATTAGGAACCATATGAAACTTTATTGGAATCCTATGAAACTAAGTAGGAATCTTTCGGAATCCTACCGAAATTTTTCGGATAAGCTAAAAGGAAGCCTATTAAAATGAATAGGAACCCTTAACAAATCAAAAGAGCGCGGTGAAGATTAATAGGAACTAATAGGACTCCTAGGAAAAATAAGATTCGCAAAAACAAGAATTAATAGGAACCCTACTAAATCAATATGAGCCTAAACCAATAGGAATTCCTTTCAAACGAATTCCTTTCAAACGAATGAGACCTCTATTAACATTAATACGAATGCCATTAACATGAATAAGAATCCTAAAGTTGAAATTTCGGAACCAATAAAAGTAAATAGGAAGCCTATTGAAATGAATAGGAACCCTTTACGAATTGAAAAGAACCGGTTATAATTTATAGGAGTCCTGTTAACACGAGAAGGAATCTGAGTAAAATCCCTAAACCCTAAACCCTAAAACCCAAACACTGAACCCTAAACCCTAAACCGTGTAGAACCCCTGAACAAATCTTACCAAAACTCCAGTTTCCAAAATTCCAAAAACCCAAGAAATCCAACCCAAGTTTCGGATTTTTGGAAACTCGAGCGGGAGCCTCAAAATCCAAAATTCGAGCTCCCGCTCGAGTTTCCAAAATTCCATCCAAAAACTCCAACCCAAGTTTCAGATTTTTGGAAACTCGAGCGGGATCCTCAAAATCCAAAAATCCAAAATTCCTCGAGTTTCCAAAAATCCCAAAATCCAAAATTTCCAACCCAAGTTTCGGATTTTTGGAAACTCGAGCGGGAGCCTCAAAATCCAAAAATCCAAAATTCCTCAAGTTTCCAAAAATCCCTAAATCCAAAACTTCCAACCCAAGTTTCGGATTTTTGGAAACTCGAGCGGGAGCCTCAAAATCCAAAAGCCCAAAAATCCTCGAGTTTCCAAAAATCCAAAAATCCAAGGAATCCACCCCAAGGTTTGGATTTTTGGAAACTCGAGCGGGAGCACGAATTTTGGATTTTGAGGCTCCCGCTCGAGTTTCCGAAAATCCAAAAATCCGAAAAACCCACCCCAAGGTTTGGATTTTTGGAAACTCGAGCGGGAGCACGAATTTTGGATTTTGAGGCTCCCGCTCGAGTTTCCAAAAATCCGAAACTTGGGTTGGAAGTTTTGGATGTTCGGATTTTTGGAAACTCGAGGAATTTTGGATTTTTGGATTCTGAGGCTCCCGCTCGAGTTTCCAAAAATCCGAAACTTGGGTTGGAATTTTTGGATTTTGGGATTTTTGGAAACTCGAGGAATTTTGGAGTGTTGGTCTTCCACTCCCTTCCTGGACAGACTGGAAATACAATTCCGGGGTCTGTCGTTGGGGGGGGGGGGGGGGGGGGGTGACCGGATATATATATATATATATAAACATATATATATATGTATATATATATATATATGAGGCAGGAACCTTTCCGTATGATTTGATGTGTGTCTTGTGTTTCTCTACAACACTACACACATGGTATCTAGGACTTGCGCTTGCATTGCGTGAGCGGCAAGAATCCCTACACCGACTGTGTTGAAAATTGTTTTTATGCGTTGCTTTTGTTCGGCCCGCTTTTGTTGGTATGCGTTTTTCTAGCGATTCATGATGTTTTTTAGAGTTATGCTTGCACTGTGTGAGCGGCAAAAACCCCTACACCAAATATGTTGAAAATTGCTTTGATGCATTGCTTTTGTTCGGCCCGCTGTTTTTTTTGTATGCTGTTTTCCAGCGAGTCAGGATGCCTTTTTAGTGTTACAGATGTTTGCATTGTGTGCGCGGCAAGAATCCCTACGAGTGTGTTGAAAATTGCTTTGATGCGCTGCTCTTGTTCGGCCCGCTGTTTTTGTATGCGTTTTACCAGCGGTTCATGATGGTTTCAGAGTTATGCTTGCATTGTGTCCTCGGCACCAAGGGGGAGTAGCCAGGGTTCAGGCTAATTAAAGAACCATCCACTTCCTAGTGATCGAGCACATCTCACACGCAACACAGCTAACGCAGCTTCTTTCAGTTCAGAAAGGAACCACGTCACATTATGCATAGAGGTTCCTTTTACATATATGGATACATACATACATATATATATATATATATGATCCAAGCTGGTGCCCCCCAACCCCCATCCTTCCCTTCTCATGGTCCCCCCCTCCCTCCCGGACCCCAATACACCGTCAAACAAAGGGAGGGGGGGGGCAATCACCCTACCACCACCCCCTCGCTGTGGTGTGATGGTGCTTAGGGTAGAAGGGTTTAGGGTTTAGTTTTCAGGCATAAGGTTTAGGGTTTTAGGGTTTTAAGGCCTTTAGTTTCAAGTGCCCGGCAGTCGTTACGAGGCCGGGATGCAAACAAGGGGTTTTATGGTTTGGGCTCAGGGGGCTGGGGCATGCTCAGCTGTCGACACTTTGGAATGCGAAGAGCAAGGGTCCAGGGATGTTCTTCAATCGCCCGCCTCCAAAAAACAAAAGCCGCGTGGGATGCATGAGAGACTCGTGCATCCCAAGCGGGAGGGCTCCTCGCACTGTTCCTCCGACGCGGAAGATGAAGGGGCCATCAAGTCCTTCAAATATCGTTTGCCTCAACAATCCTTCCTAACCCAAAAAGTGTGGACTTCAACGAAGACGCGCAGGGATTTTGAACGACCACGCAAATTGACTCAACCCATTGTTAAGTGGAGCAAAGGACATGTACACATCAACCAGGTCATCATGCACCTGACTTACGTTCACGTAGGTGCCGCTCAGCGCCGCAGAGAAGCTGCTGAGTAGCCGGGCCTTCATGTGCCTGTCACGGAGCTCGCGGGTGGTGCTGGAAGGACCTGGGCTCGGGGGAACTTGTAGGTTTTCTGGAAGGCTGGCAAGCCTACAACTACATGGTGCGATGGAGCGTATTGAGGGATGTGCTTCTGAAATGCGCTGGCAGGGCTCAGGTACTTATGGGTGAGAGCAGAACGTCGTGCTTAGCCGTCCAGAACATTGCTTAGCCAAAGGAGCAAGAGCTGGCAAAAGCATAGTCTGGTCATGTCTGGTCCGTCGCATTGGAGTGAGAGATGTGGGACGTGTGGAATTTTTTGTCTCAGGATGCCCGGACATGCCTCAGGTCTTCGACCTGCTTGCGGGAAAGCGCCCCGAAGCGGCCACTGGGCAGACCATCCATGCATCTTTCATCTCGACTAGCTTCATTCTAGACGCAACTCTCACACGTCTCTTTGCTCCCGGTCGTAGCCTCACACGCGCCACCCCATCTTCAATGCCCAAGTTGCGCTGGGCATTGGCCTACGATAAGGAAGCGATTTACCGATAAGCTTGGGCTGTGCTTCTTCGAAACGTGATCTAACTCTGAAATGTTCTCAGCATCCGCAGCTGGAATTCTCATCCCTGAACCGCTCCAAATTCTAGGCACCCTTGATCTGGCAGCACCCTCGGGCGCGCTTCGCGGCAGTGAGCCCGCGCTGTGTGACGCAGCTGTGCCAGGACGCGGGCTCCAGGCATTGCAGGGTACTGGAGATGTTTTGGAGAAGTTCCTGGTTTTTACAATGCTTGACATGTTTACGTGCCATCCGGGACAAAGGCTCGGGCGCGCAGGGCCTTTCCACGGAAGGGTTGTCTGTTCATCACGAGTTGGGCCGTGCAACGCGTGGAGAGAGCATTGGTGTACTTGTGTTTTCTCTCGTGTGCTCCTGCAGTTGCGGGACTGCAATCACAGACCTCAAGTGGAACCCGGAGTCAGCGCAGGAGAACAGCTGCAAAACACCTCGGGACATGCTCCACGCCGGCTACGAGTACCTGGCTTGCGACGTCGAGGCTTCTGCAAATGAAAATGCTTCACACATGCCGCCCCCAAACTCAACGACATTCAACGATCCTCGACGCCATCACCCTCAACGGCACCCTGAAGCTGAAAGCTGCCGCAGCGGTGATGCGTGTCAAGTGATGTGAACGAGGATGAACCATGATGAGCCAGGTCCTGCTGTGCAACTCCGTAAGATGGTTCGTCCCCAAAAGAAGTTTCAGGGTGTATCGACTTGCCTTTAAGATGGCACTGTGGCGGCCGTCAGAAGCTACTCTGATGTAAGATGTCTGCCACGTTTCTAAGTATTTCGAACTGCTTGCCGCTGAGATTTGTCGAGCCTAGAGGCACACCTGTCACTCTTTGCCTTGGCCGACTTCGCGGACAGAGGTGTGGCAACCAGGGTCTAGTTTTTTGTTTGTGCATCCGTCTGTTGATCGACAAGACCTCCAAGCCAAAAACGCTCAGGACTGGCAGAGCTGACGCGGTGTCAGAAGGTGCTCCTAACCTTTGCCACTCAGCTTCCTTGGCTTCGGTTTTCGAGTTTGGAGGGAACGATGCTACATCTGACATTTTCAAGCATTTTCAAGAGGTATGTGAGTTGGTTCCGAGATGCACGCTCTGCTGTTTTGCCTCAACGCAAGTCACCGGGGGGGGGGGGGGGGGGGGGGCATGCGGCCTCACATTTGGCAGCTTGGGAACCCAAACGAGGCCAAGGCCTTTTGGCCCAGAGCGCCGCACGTCCTCTTCGTGTATCTTGGAAGAAGAAAGGGAGAAGTGCGGAAGAAGAGGATGAGTGCCGGAGAGAGCCCAGAGAGCGCCTCGAAGTCTCAGAAACTGTCTCTTCGTTTCTCTTGAAGGCTCTGGTCATGTTGATCATGTAGATCAGGTGTGCCCCCGAACGCACTTCGCATCAAATCTGCATCAGCAGCCCTGTGATTAGGTGCGAGCCCGGTGCTCTTGGTGCGGAAGGCGAGAGTCGGACCTGAGTTCGGAGCAGTGCAGAACATCTGCAATGACAATGTGATTGTTTGAAGGGATGTGCTGACGTTACTGCGACTCTGGGGCGGGCCTAAGACAGGAATGAACAGGCAGATGAACCCTTCAGAAGGATCCCCTGCTCGAACCTTCCCGGACGTTCTCGGATGCAGCCACAGAACATCCTTACTAAGAGGTTTCATAGGTGGGTTTTTGGCTATTATAGCATCTCCCTGCAACCTACAGCTCTTGCTAGGTAACTGAGGGGAACTACACAAACCATCGAAGTCTCAGATGCAACTTGAAGTACGTTTGCGCGGGAGCATGCGAACAAGCAGCATTCGAACAAGCAGCATGCGCAAGATCATCCGCCAAGACGGTGGGCAGACTGCCTCATGACAACAACGCAGGGGACTAAGTTGTCAGTTTTGATGGTGCTGGAGGCCCCGCGTGGGCATCGACATTTTTCAGGAGGAAGAAACCTCAAGAATCGGGGAATTGTAACACAATCTGCAACGATATCGAGACGAACAGGGCAAATATTATCATTGTGTGGACATGTTGGGGGCATAGCAACATGTGTCTATCATATCAAGGGGAGTTGTTGGGGCCCGGAAAATTCGGGAAGCTGCAAAACTTGTTTACAGGTGATGCGTTGAGCTTGCCCCTCGGCGGCAATCTCGAAAGCCCGAAGGAGAGGGTGATGGGTGTTAGCCTTTGTGTTGACGACTTTGTGGGTCGAGCTCTTGACCTTACCACCGGCACAGTGGTGGTATAGAGGCATCTGATGGCATCTACAGCTGAATGGCCGCTTGAAATCAGTTTGCTGCAGAAAAAGTGGGGTTCGGAGTTGCTTCGGTTCTGAATGGCGCTTTTGACCTGGACATAACCGACGGCCTGGCAACCTCTTAGGAATGATTGCGCCAGCCGTGCTTGTGAACGAAGCCCGAGCAACAGCAAGTACTGTGTAAGTACTGCTAGCAAAGACATGATCGTAGCAACAGATACGGGGTTGCCAGTATCCATGTTGTCACCACTCGGCTTGGGGCCAGCGTTCTTCAAGGCTAATGCGCGCTCTCGGTGCTTGGTCTGGTGGTGTCCTCATCGCCGGACCGGACGCCGCACTGCGGGAGGAGCTGCGGGCCAAAGCAGGATTTCACATGATTTCACAAGGCTTTGAAGGACTGGTTGAGGACTTCAGCACAGTGGTCACAGAAGACCCGAAATAAAGGGTCGCAGGCTCAGCTAAACGATGCTGAGCGGCACTTCTGCTAGCTCCACTGCTCCACAGCACAGTATTGGCTGGGTAATTCGTGTCGGCTACGTATCGGTGATGTTGACGGGTGTTGGGGGTTGAGCCGTTTGTCCTAGTACACTCCCGTGCTCTGTGGGTAGGGCGTTGAAGGAGTTGTATGGGCAGAGCTAACCTCGAAACCTTGAAATGGTAGACTCCCGGCAGACACCTGGATGCCCACACCGTGTGTTGTAGATCTGTGTGCCTGGATAGCTTGCATTTCGTTCCTGATTGACCGAGCAAGCTTTGTTCCTTTTGAAGAGTCCTTACCCAAACTCGAACCCTAAGCTGTTGCCAGGTGGAGACGTGGGAGAGATGGACGGTCAACGCCTAGACCATTCGAAGCCGACGGTGGGAAATGGCGGGCAATGTTGAGAACATGACGTCTCAATTGGCCGAGTTCAAGACACGGGCAGGGGAGAGCAGTAGCAATTAAGGAGCCTGGCTGTGCGTCAATGACTCCGCTGGGGGAGTGCAGTTGCAGCATCATACCTTACTTTGAGCAGCCTTGGCCATCGCATGTCGATCCGAAGAGCTTCTGGAAGTACTGGATGCAAAACTGCACATCCCTTGGCCTTCCCAGCCGCATGACGTCGAGCTGCGTGTGCAGCCTTCTTTTCCGTGTGGCAGTAGCTCTTGCGCAAACAAGGCGAAACGAGTCTTGTGTCGCCGGGTGGGCCTAGCTTTTTTGAAGCCCCCACACTGGTTAGTGCGCTGCTTTTGCAAGGGCACGTACGGCAGGTGATTGAATCACCGTGCCGCTATCGCAGTTTTCCCGTTGGGTGTTCAATTCCTCTGCCCTTTTGTGCACTTCACTTCGCTGCATGGCGTGCCTTAGGTCTGCAAGAAACTTGGTGCTGATCGGGGCGCGTTGTGGCACACAGCCTTTGAGCAGATCGGGTCGTGATGGATCTCTGGCCAAGTGTGGGATGGTAAGTCAGTGTAGCCGCCACCTAGCTGTTGGTCCGATGCAGCTCTTGCCACGCTCATTGCAGCAAAAACAGCAGCCTCATGCCCAGGCAGGACCTTGTAGCCTTACAGTAGCGACCCTGAATATCACAAACGGGCGTGTCAGTGGAGATCCGTCGTTGGCTCGTGCAACAGCGCTCGGAACGAGAGCCGCTTTGTATGCACGTGGCAACCTAGACCTCACACTTTGCAAGGTCGTGAGTTGCAAACTCCTTCGGGTCTGTCATTCCAAGCTTCTGTATCTGGGAGTTCAGCAGAACTCGTCTCCTTGCAGAGTCTTTCGCCTGCCTCGAAGGTGGGCACACACGCCAGGCGTTGCAGAACGTAGGAACCTGCGAGCGAAGATCTTGCACACTCTGTGGGTCTTTGACAGATTTTTCTGATTTTGGACTTTTGGACTTCTTCGAGGCTAGGTGCCAGGCTGAAGCGGAAGATCCTCAGCCATTTGGCCAGGAGGCAGAAGACGCGCCCAGCAGCTCACTTCACATCCCAGACTCCCAGACCAGCCCACGTCAACCCCGCAGAACGTTCTGACCCGCAGTGCGAGCCATGACGCAAACCGTGATGCTCGAGGATTTGCTGGGAGGCGACCCTTCCTCACCCATCGTGCGAGTCTCGTCTGCAGCTCAACATGCCGCAATTACACCACAAGTCTGGAGCAGAGTCATGAAAGCCATTCAGAGCCCTAAAGCCCTCAGTTCTCATGAAGCCCTGGAGACGTGCAAAGGAACGCGGGAGCCGCTCTGGCGCGTTCGGCACCTGCGGCCCCGTCGCCCACCGTCGCAGCTGGGAAAGCCGCCCCCTGTCACAGTGAAGACTCGCTCCGAAGTGCCGCTGCCTCTGAAAACTTCTGGAGAATCCTCTGGGGAATGTGGGGAGCCTTCTTTCTTGGCATTCGGGGATGCCGTGCGGCTCACGCTCCCCCCGCTGGCAGCTGGCGGCCTCGCTGCTGCGCTCTGTGCCTGCGTCCGCCCCAAGGCCGTTGGTGACGTTGGGCCACGCGAGATTGTGCCTACGGATGCGGAGCGCGAGGAGCTGCGACTGGCAGAGGACCTGGCATCGTCGGGCCGCAGGGCCAAGGACTTCGTCGCAGTCACGGCAGCAAGGGTGCCCGACCCGGAGGTTGTGGTACGGCGAAGTGCCTGGCGAGTGTTCCGGTGTAGCGAGCTCGACGGGTTCCCTGCCGGCTCTCGTGTTCACTACGGGCAGCACTTGCACTTTGGGCTGCCTTCCGTTGACGATGCCGACTCTGAGATCTTGCTTAGCTGTGAGCCGCCAAGCCGCTGTGGAGGGCTTGGGGCTCCGTACTTGATCCTGGGACGCTTCGTGGACTTCGGGCATGTCTGCCAGGGCCGACGGAGTTGGAACACGGCCTTCACGATGGTGCCAGAGGATGCGTCAAGCTCGGCCGGTGGCTTCGGTGACCCGGTGGACTTGAGGTGTGGTGTGCGCATCATCCCCATCGCGCCCTTCTCTTACTTGCATGGTCCGCGCCTAATGCAGGCCAGTTCCAAGGTCGTGTCCAACTTTTGTGCCGTTTCGACTCGTATTGAGGTCAGGTCCTGTGGTCTGAGTCCCAACAAAACCTACTCAAACTCGAGTTGTGCAAAATGGGTGGGTGTGCCGGACGTTCATACTGTCGGACAGCATCTCCTCCCAGGACTGCCTGCGATGGTGAGATCACTTGCCCAAGCAGGGACCCCGAAAGCCCTGGCGTCAGGCCGTTTTCGGTGGACTGAGCAACCCTGTCGGACGGGGCTGCATCTCCCGCTGCGCTGCCGTGGCCTGTCTGAACGGCAGCTGCCACAATTGCGAGTTTGATGGTTGCGCTGGATGCTTAGTGGTGTTATGAAGCCTAGAGTGACCTGAGGCACACTATGGGATGGACCGCCCAAAAGTGCAGGATGAATGGGGGTTCAGACTTGGGGGTCATTTGGTCTTTCTCTTAGAGAGCGGCTTGCTTTCCACCCCAGGCCGAGAGGCCTGAGACCGCACTCAGCCCTCCATGTGACTCCATGTGCAATCTTGCAAAGTTCAGAATTAACCAGGCGGATTACCAGGGGGCGGGGGGTTGAGCCTGGGCTTTGCACCCCCTATGTGTCCTCCAATTTTTCTGCATTTCCTCGAACAGAAAGGGCACAAATCTCAGGAAAACTTGAGGCAAATTGGAGGGCGCGGGAAAAATGCAAGCTGGTCGGGCTTTAATTTTGCTGCCTGCGTTTAGGGCCTGGGCAGCCTACAATCCAGTTTTAGCTTACTCTTTAAATCTGCCAACCTGCATCTCCCGTTCTCCCTTGTGCCTTCTATGCTTGATGCGTCTGTTTGGCCATCCTTGACTGTGCTTGGTGAGGTGGGGAAAGATGTGCGGGAGCTCTTGCTGCACGCCTCTGCGCCAGACGGCCCCATGGCTTCGGTGTGACAGGGGAAGGGGCCGTGTTATGCGTGTCTTCGTTTCTGCAAGCCCTGAGCAACTCAGCCGATGGCCCTGCGGGCAGGGGAGCCTCCGGATGTCGGCTGGGTGCTGGAGCGGCTGTGCCTCACCCAGGGCACGACTTCTCCACCAGCAGGCCTCGAGAGTGAGCTTGCAGGGACATGACAAGGAGGATACAAAGGTGTCAGGGTCACTTCAGGGTTGGCCGTGCATGGCCGCCCCTTCCCCAAGCAAGTCTTGACCAGGTGCCGACACGACCTTTGCCCGGTGGCACAGCTTGAGGCACGGGATTTCACGTGCATGCCTCCACACAACAAAGTCGCCGACGCAAAAAGAAGGAGGTCCAACGAACCTGAGCTGAAGCCTGAAGCCTGAGAGTTGCGGTGAGCGCACTGAGGGCTGCGATCCAAAAACGCATCCGCCGCCGTGGGGAGGCCTGGCAAAAGGAAGGAGGATAATATTGATAATATGGTTTCGACGGTTTTGAGTTGGACAGACTTCCAGGCCTTTCGCTGCCACCTCTTGGGGGACAGGGTCCAGCAACTTTAACGTGTGTGCTCCACTCAGCTTTGCATCGCCAGCTAGTGCGGCCTCTGAAGTTAGAAAATGGTGCGGCCTTAGGTCGCCTTGCCATAGGTCTTGGTCGTTGTGTTCACACCCCCCTTTTCATGTGCAAACGCAACATCCGATATCTTCTGCACACACCGTGGTCCATTGGGGCAGGCGCTGGCCTATAGCACTTTCCGGAAGATCCTCTCCAAGGATCCCTGGGTATGCCTGGACAATACTGGACAGGACGAACACTGCAGTTTGCCAAATTGTCGTCAGATCTGGTCAGGACTGCTTGGTGCTGGACGACCCGATCTCTACCAACCGCTTGCCGGCGGCGGATGGTGCTGTGACCCTTGCTGAACGCACCCTGGTTGGCGAATCTAGTGCCTGGCCCCGAGAAGCACAGTGCGGCACCATGCCGTTCGTGCTCGTTTATACTCTCTCTGAACTTAACTCCAGGTTTTGACATCCCTGCGCTGCGACTACGGCGTGCAGCTGGGCGATGCAGCAGGGATCCCAGCTCGTGTGCCCAGTGCGCTGGGGACACTGGGAATGTGGCTAGGAGAGTGATAGAGTCTTTCTTTGCTTCGTCGCTGAAGTGCCTGCAGACTTCTCCCTCTTCCTCACACCGAACTGTATTGAATCGGTGCCTCAGCTGTCCATTGCGTACCGACCGGTTTGTTCAATGGCCGCTGAGGATATGCAGTTGATAACGAAACACTTCCGGCCGCCGGCACCTTAGTTGTTTGGAGGGAAGGAGCACCAGGTCGCTTCTTACGGCCTCCTTGCATATCTCCTCGTTGCTTTAATTGCAATCATTGGCATATTGCCTCTTTTCCGCTCTTTCCAGAACTTTAGGCCCGGCACGGAGGCCCTTTGGTCCGAGCCTGTCATTGACGCCAACGCCTTCGCGGACGCTCTCAGAGGTGAGCGGTGTGGCCGCAGAAGGAACTAGAAGAAAGAAGGATCAGTATAATGTCTTGCGAAGCTTGAGCTGACGGCTACCCCCATAGTGGAGGTGTCTACGGATGAGCCATAAAGTGAGTGCATGAGCTGAACCATGTGGTGGGTCCAGGATCTTTCGAGCACTGAAACCCTACACTGCCTCACCGAATTCGGGTAGAGATGTCGACAGAAGACTCTGTTCCGACTTTGCGGAGTCGCCGGTCAAGAGAAGTTCTGGCACCAAGAAGCGACAACAGTTACGCGCTCAATCACTACCATGAACTATACCTATCAGTTCTTTTGCCACGCGAAGACAAGTTGAGCTTCACGCCCGATGCCACCCCGATGCCTGTACCTGTCAACACCTTTGACACGCGCTCAGCAACTCCGACAGTTACTAGGATCGCGCAGCCACGAAAGTAAGCCTTCAGCCCTTCCTTTAATGTGTCATTGCGTGGGGGGGGGGGGGGGGGGGGGCGGAGGGAAGGCATTTTTTCTGCGTTGGGGATGTGGTAGTCTGCCAGTGAGAATTGAGGACTTCGCCAGGGAGGTCACGAACCCTGCAGCAGCTGTACTCCTTGCTGCAGAAGCAGGTGCTCAGTCAGTGTAGAAGTTGGCATTCAGGCTTCAATGAGAAGTGTTGTGGAGGTGCGCAAATCTGGTGTGCGATTTCCTGTGGTTATCTTGCTGCGCTCCAACTTTTCGCTGTTGGTGGGGAAGGGGGGGGGGATGCGTGTACCCCGTTACAACCAGAAGCCTCATGTTGCAAACCAGAGCACCCATTTTACAGCCTGCGAGCCTTTCCAGATGCCCAAATTGGAGCCGACAGTGTGGTTGCAAAATGGGCGTTCTTAAGTTAGGACACGGGCAAAATAATGTTTTCTCTTGCAGCTGCTTGCTCCCGAAACAGAAAGCTAACCAGTGCCTCGGTCGAGGGGTTTCCGGCTGCTTTCGGGCACACTCATGACCCTAGAAGATAGGTTTAAAAAGTAGCCCCCTATCATAGACGTCGATAGACCCTATAGAGACCCCTATGGTTTTGGGATAGGGTCCTATTCCCTGAGCCTTCCCCGTCCGTGGTGGGACCCTATACATAGGACCTGTCCGTTTATGCATAGACACCTATGCATAGGCCCTATGCCTTTTCCAATAGACCCCTATGCATAGACCCTATCCCTACCTATACCACCCCCCTATGCGGCATAGACCCCTGTCCATTTTTGATAGGCCCCTACCCCCCTCCGGATAGACCCTATCCACAAACCCATAGACCCCTATGGTAACAAATGTATCACTTGTGCTCGAGCGAGAGTTTAGGGTGTAGGGTTTTTGTAGGGTTTTGGGGGGGTTCAGAGTTTAGGGGTTTTTAGGGTTTAGGATTTCTTGTTCAGGCCTCAGAGCTTTTTAGGCTTTAGGGGTTTTCGGGTTTCGGGATTAGGGAGGGTTTCGGGTTTTTTGGGTTCTAGGGGGTTTTTAGGGCTTACAGATTTTTAGGGTTTAGGGTTTTTTGGGGTTTAGGGTACAGGGATTCTTCCCCGCATGATGGGTTCGAAAAAGAATTAAGCGGGGGGGTTGGGGGGGGCGCAGCCCCCCCCCATTTGACACACACACTGCTCGCATGATGGGCTTGAAAAAACATGCCTCTGTTTAGGTTTTTAGGACTTAAAGATTCTTAGGGTTTGGGTTTTTTTGGGGGGTTTAGGGTTTAGGGATTTTTACCCCCCCCCCCCTTCCCATTTGCAAACACCACTCGCATGATGGGTTCGAAAAAGAATTAAGCGGGGGTTTGGGGGGGGGGCGCAACCCCCCCCCATTTGCACACAGAATGCTCGCATGATGGGCTTGAAAAAACATGCCTATGCTTAGGGTTTTTTTGGGTTTAGGGTTTTCGGGGTTTGAAGTTGAGGGTTTTTTAGGGTTTAGGGCAAGGGGTTCTAAGGGTGTAGGGCTTATAGGGTTCCGAGGTTTGTACGGTTTAGGGTTTAGGGTTTTTAGGGTTTAGGGTTTAGGGTTTTCAGGGTTTAGGGCTTAGGGTTTTTTAAGGGTTGAGGGCTGAGGGGTTTTTAGGGTTTAGGGTTCTTAAGGGTTTAGGGCTTAGGGATTTTTTCTGGGCATAAGGCTGGGTTTAGGGTTTAGGGTTTAGGGTTTAGGGTTTAGGGTCTAGGGTTTAGGGTTTAGGTTTTAGGGTTTAGGGTTTCGGGTTTAGGGTTTAGGGTTTAGGGTCTAGGGTTTAGGGTTTAGGGCTTATTGGGCTTCGGGGTTTTTATGGTTCAGGGTTGTTTAGGGTTTAGGGTTTAGGGTTCAGAGTTTAGGGTTTAGGGTTTAGGGTTCAGGGTTTAGGGTTTAGGGTTTAGGGTTTAGGGACTTCAAACTTTGCATCATCACCTCATTCAAGAGTTTCACATAGTCCTCACAGTTGAAATTGTTTCTCGACGCTGGCATTGTCGAATAGAGACGTGCAGTCAGTAGTACTGCTCCATTGTTCGAGCGCCAGGCATTGAGATCCGTCCTCACAGTTGAACTTGTTTCTCGACGCTGGCATTGTCGAATAGAGACGTGCAGTCAGTAGTACTGCTCCTTTGCTCGAGCGCCATACGTTGAGATCCGCAACTTACATCCCCGGCCGACTGCCCCAAGCCCGGATGCAAAAGGGACAGGTTTTTAGGGTTTAGGGCTGGATTTAGGGTTTACGGTTTTTTAGGGATTAGGGTTTCTTAGGGGTTCTTTAGGGTTCAGGTTTTTTTGGGTGTAGGGCTGGATTTAGGGTTTAGGGTTTTTTAGGGATTAGGGTTTCTTTTTGGGTTTCGGGTCCCATTTGCAAACACCACTCGCATGATGGGTTCGAAAAAGAATTAAGCGGGGGGGTTGGGGGGGGGGCGCAACCCCCCCCCCATTTGCACACAGAATGCTCGCATGATGGGCTTGAAAAAACATGCCTATGCTTAGGGTTTTTTAGGGTTTAGGGTTTTCGGGGTTTGAAGTTGAGGGTTTTTTAGGGTTTAGGGCAAGGGGTTCTTAGGGTGTAGGGCTTATAGGGTTCCGAGGTTTGTACGGTTTAGGGTTTAGGGTTTTTAGGGTTTAGGGTTTAGGGTTTTCAGGGTTTAGGGCTTAGGGTTTTTTAAGGGTTGAGGGCTGAGGGGTTTTTAGGGTTTAGGGTTCTTAAGGGTTTAGGGCTTAGGGATTTTTTCTGGGCATAAGGCTGGGTTTAGGGTTTAGGGTTTAGGGTTTAGGGTCTAGGGTTTAGGGTTTAGGGTTTAGGTTTTAGGGTTTAGGGTTTCGGGTTTAGGGTTTAGGGTTTAGGGTCTAGGGTTTAGGGTTTAGGGTTTAGGGCTTATTGGGTTTCGGGGTTTTTATGGTTCAGGGTTGTTTAGGGTTTAGGGTTTAGGGTTCAGGGTTCAGGGTTTAGGGTTTAGGGTTCAGGGTTTAGGGTTTAGGGTTTAGGGTTTAGGGTTTAGGGACAGGTTTTTGGCTGGATTTAGGGTTTACGGTTTTTTTTGGGATTAGGGTTTCTTAGGGGTTCTTTAGGGTTCAGGTTTTTTTGGGTTTAGGGCTGGATTTAGGGTTTAGGGTTTTTAGGGATTAGGGTTTCTTTTTGGGTTTCGGGATTAGGGTTTTTTAGGGCTCAGGCTTAGGGCTTAGGGTTTAGGGTGTAGGGACTCAGGGTTTAGGGTATAGTTGTGAGGCGACGAAGGAAGGGACGGATAGGGCCCTATCGGAAAGGGATAGGGGTCTATGCCACGGATAGGGGTCTAGGTCCGGGCGACAGCCCCCTATATATAGACCCCTATCCTTTCCGGACAGGGGCCCATGCATAGGTACCTATCCACATCGGGGAGACCCCTGGGGATAGGGGTCTATCGCCTGGGGGTAGGGGGGTACGGATAGGGACCTATCCTGATTGCGATAGACCCCTATCCAATAGGTACCTATCCAAAACAGATAGGCGGCTACTTTTTGAACTCATACTCTGACCCTACATGGAGTGCTAGGGTCAGGGGAATTGTGTGGAGCCTTAGTCAAGGTCAGAGTTCCTGTCGAGGTTTCTTGAACGTTTTCTCGACAAAGCTCCTTTACAGGATCTAAACAGGTTCCTTAGACGCATCGCAGAGCAGAATACCAGTTATTAAACATAGCACTCTTCATACTAGTTCAGAGAGAGCAAAGAAGGGCGGAGAGAGAGAGAGAGAGGGAGACCAGATTTGCTTTGTCCCTCAAGCCCAGCAGATAAAGAGGACCGGTCACAAAATTCACAAAGTGGTGGTTCTCGAATCGTCGAGTGGTAAAATGGGCGTTCTTGCAATGGGTATTTGGTTGTGCAATTGGGCTTCTGGTGGTAACATGGCTTAGTGTCGGGAGGCGGGGTGCAGACAAAAGCCCTACAAAGATGCTTTTGATGGGAGCATTATCATGGGCAAACCCTACCGGAGATCTAACACTTCCCAGTTGTGTTGCGCACCAGAAACGCAGCCTACTCAGTTGCGAGGCTCCGAAAGACTGCAGTGCTTCTGATGTGTGGTGGACATGTAAACCTGTCAACCAGCGACGCCATGAGACTTAAGATAAAGGGGATCGCATGGTCCCATCTCAACCTTACATCCCCCCCCCCCCCTTACTGCATGTGCGCAGACACGGGGATCTGCCCTCAAGAGAGAGGCCGGGCTGAAGCCTCCAGAGAGCCTCTCCGTCGCCTGGATCCGTGCACGTGTGGAGCCGGGACGCCCGGCCTCCTCCCAGCCTTCCTCAGGGCCTTCCTCTACTCTCTTTGACATTCTTTGACCCTTTTCGAGTCGCAAGCTGCAGAAGAGCGCAAGCTGAGACGGCGAGGTCCATGGAGGAGGGTGGCCAGCTGTTCCCTGCCGGGGACCTCCTCGCCTCCTTGTGGCTTGAAGAGGAAACATGTAGGGATGTGGGAAGCCTTTGGAGCACACAAAGAGGGTTTGAGGAGGAATTCCGTGAACCAGGAACTGTGAATCAGAAACTAGCCGAGAATCAGAAACCGCGAATCGGAAACTAGCGCGATTCAGAAACTGCGGATCAGAAACCTGCCGGAATCAGAAAATGCGCATCCGAAGCCCATGCGAATCAGACACTGCGCATCAGGAACTGCGAAGCAGAAACCTGCTGCATATAGGGTTGATCGTGAGCAGGTTGCCCGTGCATTTGTTAATACACACGATAAGCTCGAAAAGAATGTTTCATATTTTGAATATACAACAACAGTAGATATAACAGTAACACTCATAGTTCTTCTTAATATTCTGAACAAACCTGTTCGAGCAACGTGGGAGAAAACTCCATGCCTCAGATGCAATGGGGCGGGGCTGGGACCTGCTCAGAGGTCACAGAATATGCCGCCCCTCGGAGGGGGTGGGGGGTTGGGAGCGGGGGGTTGGGGGGCGGGTTAATCGCGTGCAGGTGCCGTTGCCAGTTTTTGATGGTTTCCAATGTTCCCGTTTCGGTTTCCGATTCAGCCGTTCTGGTTTCCAGTTTTTTCGTCAACCGGCGTATGTAGGGCGTTTGGTATTGGCGCAGCCGTAGTTAGAGAGCGTGTGCATGAACATATCCGTATCCGAGACGTGTTTAGAGCTCAAGGGAACATAAGGGAACAAGTAGAGTTTGGATCGTTGGGCTGTCTTATGACGCGGTCGTGGGATGTTGTGGGGTTCTGGTGTCAGCGAATCGGTTTTCGGAACCCTGCCATGCCAGAACTTGATTCCCAGGCCACTGGTCCGCAGCCACGCTGGAATCACGCGGCTGGCATTCTTGCGCTGGCAGATGGATGCACTAGCACCGTGGCTGCGTAGTCTCAAGTTCAAGTAAACGCAACCTTCAAAGTTGCGGGTTGCGGGGGTGGGGCGTGGGATTGGACCAAGACCAGGGAGACACACCGAACATCTGCAGTCAAGGCCCTTGTAGCTGCAGTGAGCTTCTTTCGTCGACCATCTTGACATGTCCAAATTGCATTTAACCCAATAAATGCCGCCAAGATTCGTCAAGTCTAGTCCGGCCAAGCGCCTTCAAAACATGTTGCCAGGAAGATCCAAAACATTTAATTTCAGTTCGTAAGAACAGAAGACGACAACGGCGCAGGCGCTCATCCCTGCCCATGAGAGCTGCCTCGGGTTCTTATACCAGAGCCTTGATGCAAGGTGTCAGAAGGTATGGTTCAGAGTCGAGGATCTGTTTTGGGTTTGCCAAGGCTAAGGCCAATCGTCCTGTGTGGGCGCTCCCAAAGCTCGGCTGACAGTCCTGCCTGTAGATCTGCCTTAAGACAACTCTTGGCATTTAGACTATTTTTATGCCGTTTCTGCCTCTGACCTTTGCCCGCGGGCTTGAGGGTTCGAAAGGGGTGGCCGTTGAAGTCCAGGATGTGGGGCGATGTGGTCCGGAGCTTGGGGACGGAAGCCGCTTGGCCGTGCAGCTGCTTGGGGTTGGACCGGTTGGATCGTTTCATAAGGTGGCCAGGAGGGACATGATTTACTGGCGCGAACATCTAGGTTGTATACCGTCAGTACGCCTGGCAGAACGCTCCTTATATCACCTTTAATTTTAACGCTACGCGACCCGCCTCGGCCCGGCCCAGCGCATCCGCGTGAGCATGGTGATTCCGCAGCGCCCAAGTCGCTGGACCCCAAGCAATAAGGGTTGGGTTTAGGGTTTAGGGTTTAGGGTTTAGGGTTTAGGGTTTAGGGTTCCGGGTTTATGGTTTATGGTTTAGTTTAGGCTTGAGGGCTTAGGGCTCAAGGTTCACGCTTTGGGGTTTAGGGTTTTTTTGGGAGTAGGGTTCGAGACGGTTCGGCTTGGATTGATCGTAGGGTTGAGCCAGGCCCCTGGGGGTAGGGGGAGTGGGGGGGGAAGGGGGGCAGAAGAAGGGGGGGGAGGGGGGGGGTTTGAGTGCTTCGGGCTAAGGTTTGGGATGTGAGGGTTCAGCTCAGACTCCAAAACCCCTCACCAACTGCAGTTGCGTCCAGGAAAAAGAAAAAGGGGGGGGGGGGGGAAGGGGGAGGGGGGGGGGGTGGGGGGAGGTGGGGGGGGGGTGGGGGGGGGGGGGGGGGGGTGGGGGGTTGGGGGAGGGGCGGGCGCAGAAGAAAAAAGGGGATGGGTGCCTGCTGGGAGGGGCTTCAACTGCCTCTGGTCCTAGCGAACCGTCCGCTTGGGTACCCATTTCAGGCAAAAAAAGAGGTCCGAAAAGTGGCTTTGGGTGTGGGGGGAGGATTTGGAGGGGGGTGCCTGTTCTGACAACCTATACACCTCCGGCCCGAGGCCTCGGCGGACTTTGCGAATCCTTGCGATGACAAACCAAACTTTGACTTGGCAGGAAGAGAAGTTCAACTGGAGCCTGTCGCTACCGCATGGCGAGCTGATCCCATCATAGAGTTGGAGACAGATGTTCGTGTGCGTTAAAGTGCGGGCGCATGCCATGCAAGATGATGTTTGCTGGAGCCCTGAAAGGATGGATAGCAACCAAACCCAATTCTAAATCACCATGCGATCCTGCTAGATGTTTCATGCTACCGCAGCTTCAGGGGAACCCTAAGGGCTTCTGTGCCTGGGTGCTGTGGTGGCATCAAAACCCAACTGGCTTTGCCGTGAAGTGTGCGGCAGGCCATCCGCAAACAATGCGGGTAGCTTGTTAGTTTCGCCAAGTTTGCGTGGTGCAAGCTCAAGAGAAAGCCCAGTTTCCAGTTTGGCATGCTTCCAGCCCCACCTTCAAGCCAAATGCCCAAAGCCCAATACATGGAATTGTATGCACTCCCCACGCTTTCGTTGGACGCGCTGGGAAGCTTTCCTTGCAGACATCACTTGCAGAAATGGATAACTTTAATTGACACTTTACAAAGGTGTAAGCTCGCCTCCCCACACCCGGCAATTCCTCCAAATGCCTGAACATCCTCATTTGGAGATGCAGCCACTTGGGTGTTGCATTCCCATCAGGTTCTGTACTTCCAGTGCTCGGTTGGAAGATGTGTGCGTGAATTTGACCAGAGCGGCCTGAAGCCCCAATGAGTTTGCGGCTCGAAGCATCACCTTGCAAGGAAGGGCTGTCTAGGAAGGGACCCCAATGCTGTTTGTGGAAGTCCGTGGGGTGCATCGGCCCGACAGCCCCTGCAGAGAAGCCCACCTGAAAGAGCCCTGACAACTGACCTCCATACCAATAACACGGGATATCCTCACCTGCTGGGCGCCCGGTGCAGCTTCATGCGCCATGGGCACGTAGACGACGCTTGCTCGGAGGCTTGGCTGCTAAGAGGGTTCAGATGTGAGGATGGAGGGTCCCCCCAGGGTGTGGCTGAAGCGTTTGTTTTTGGCACCAAGTCTTTAGCAACGCTCAACACCGCATCGCGGTGTTGAGCGTTTGTCGTCATGCCGTCCTGTCGAGAACAAGCATTGAGGCTTGATGCACCGAAAAGACCAAGTCAGTTTCGGTAGTGGCTTTGTTGCCGGCACTAAATGTGCCTTCAGAGGAAATTACCTCGAAATACTCTCTTGTGCATCACAGCTGCGGCTTTTGAATGGCCTTAAAGAGGTATGGAGGGCATCCTGGATGCCCTGGCAAAGCTGAGCTTCCAGGCTGTTGGGGAAGTCTTGCCGTAAGAGTCGCAACCGTGATGGAGCAGAAAACCCTTCAAGCTAGGCGGCACATGTTGCAGGTTTGTGGTGAGGTACACGCTTTACTGGACATTTCTAGACTTGCTTCTCTCATCTCGCTGGGGCAGGATCTTGCCGCCATAGGGGTTGTACTCTTTGCACTTCTAGCCATTTTCGCCGCTTGCCTGCAGAAGTCGAAGTCAGCAAGCACATATGACAAAGAATAAGCAGATGGCCGTGCGTTTCTCAGTGCAGGGATTTGTTGTTGTAAGGTGTGTGTCCCATGCTACCTGGTGTTCGTCACAGCGACTGGCCTTGGGCCAAAACGGGCAAAAAGACGCTTGGACAAGTTACCAAAGCACTGGGATGACCCAACGGTTGTGCCTCATCATCCATCACGGTCAAATTCTCGGCACCATGTCAGAGGCGTAATGCTTCCAAAGGGTTCGAGGTCTTCTAACTCTTTTCGCCAACTGCCGAAGTCTCAACCTGCAACTGAGCACACTACAAAGTTCCCCAAAATGTTCAGTTTTTGGGCATGTGGCATTAAAGAGGATCGGGGTCCCAAGGTGTTTGTTCTCACGTCCTTCGGTCTGTCAAGAGACCGACCCGCTTCGACTTCCACAAGGCAGGAGCATTTGTTCGAGGCGCAAGGTCTGCGGGGCCTGTTACCCCACACGGGGTGCTCTGTCTTATCTTGAGCCCTCACAGGATTTCAAGCTCTGAATATGTTTGAAATATAGGTTCAGCTTTGAGTCGACGCATGCGCTCTTGCTGCCTTCTGTTGGAAAACCCGGAGCCTGCAGATCGTCCCGCGGCTGTTTCTTGGAAGATCCTTGGCGGCAGCTTGAACCGAGCGTTGTTGTTCAAGGACCAGGCTGGTGTAAGAGTCCTGCTTGGAAAAATCTCATTTCTCAACAAGAGAAGTAGGGCAGCCCCCGAGATCCCATCCGCCCGCTGCCAGCAGAGTCTTCAACGCTTTCAAAGGTTTCTTCTCAAGTCCAGCTGTGGCTTTTGTGGATTCTAAATATATGTAGAAAGAGTAGGGACCCTAGAACAACCCCCGTATCCTCGCAATCAGGCCTGCCGCGAACTTTAGAGGATCTGGAGTTGTTGAAGGCAGAAGGCGTGGGGGCTGTCGCCCCTTGGCCGCAGCTTGGGCATGTGTGCGTGTGCGTGCCCGTGCGTGTAGGTGTGGACGATTTACACGTGGGTGTTTGTGTTTGTGCATCACTTCGGTAGTTCTTGGACCTCAAAATAAAGCAGGCGCTTTGCAACCCCTCCAAACGAGAGGATGTGCTATATCACCTCTAGGCCAAGCCCCTCGAATTCTTAATGTGTCGAGAGCTGAAAGGAGGTCGTAGAGGTCACGGTGGCCTTTGGCAGCGCTAGAACCGACGTCGGCAGAAACAGGTGACGCTCAACGAGGCATGGGAGATGGCGCTGTCGACCCGATTTATCAGGCCGCGATGCATTCAACCACAAATAGTCATGCGCATGTCTGAAATTCAATGTACATTGACATGTGCACATGCATTGGCATAGTCATGTACATGTAAGTACCCATGCAACCTAAACATAAATACAAACATGTACGCGTACACAAACGCCCACACACGTACAAACGAATAAATACACATATGCACACATTCGAGCCTTTACCTAGCAAGCCAATAAGCTATGCTGCCCGCCCCCCAGAACCTACCGTTTTCTACTCGTGTTCCACGCAGCCGCCAAGTCGAAGTTAGGGCCACCAGCTCTTTAGAAGTTAGCGATTTGTGCCACATTCTGTTTAATCTATCACCAAAGCAGCATTGCGGCACGCTACTTTTTGCGGACCCTAAATCCTATTCGCTGATTTTTTCCTCCTTAAATCCCATTCCCTAAGCCCTCTTTACAGTTGCGCAGACTCAGAGACAGCGCCAAGTAAACCCTAAAGAGGGGGGTCTTTAGAGACTAAGGAGGAGAGCCCCGAAATCCAAACAACAAAAAACCCTATTCCCTAAATCTTATCGCCAAGAGCGGGATCACTAAAAGTTTCCTCCCTAAATCCTCCAAAACCTTGTATCAAGATTTCGAGAATAGGGACGAAGATTTGGGATCCCCCCACTTTAGGGCTTGGCCAATATGATTTAGCCTTCATATATGACACTCCTCTTTAGGATGGAGGACCTTAGGGACTAAGGTTTGGCCCTGTGGGAGAGAGACGGCGAGAGAAAATGCTGCGATGAGTTGATAGAGAAAGCTGCGCATGCCGCGCGTGTTGGCGCATCTTCAGCGTTCTCGGGGCCGAGAGCTTAAAGTTTCAAAACAACTCTTCAGGCTACAAGAGGCACTCTCAGCCGGTACGTAGCCAGCGGGGCGCGACCAGAGTAAGGCTTGTAATGAAAGGGATGGACCCCATTCAAGTTGAAGCAGCCCGATTTTTATTGGAATCGGGTCTTTGCAGACTCCATCCATCTATATAATATACTGACAGGTGTCATATGCCATTCTATAGTAGTCATATGCCATTCTATAGTAGTAAAAAGGCAGGTTCGGGGGGGGGGGGGGGGGGTATACATGTATAAGATAGACATAAACCATACATCTATGCAAGTATCGACCGTGGCCATGCAATGCAATGAAACGGGGCCTCGGATCCGTGTCAAGAGGAGTGACCGATATTGGGTGAGTCAGATACGTGGATTGGCATTCATAGTGCTGTCGTCGGTTACTGTTGCTAGTGGGCATCGCACCTTGCGTCGTGCTGGCCCGACGGCCCGTTCACATCGTTGTTCACCAGGCTTCGGGGCTTTGGCTTGGAGGAAGTAGGGCAGCGAGCGAGAGAGAGCGGGGGTTTCACGATCAAGCCTTTCAGGGTTATGACCTGTGCATAGGGTGATCCAGGCAGAGGGGGTTTAACGACAAAGCTGCTTGCAGGGACGAGTGCGGCATGGACCACCTACACTTACCCACACCGGACTTTTTCTCGCCCATGCAGCCTGACATCGAGGCGCGGGGGGCTATTGACATGGTACCTGCGAGCCCTGATGGCGAGTGGACCGCATTCCCATCCCAAGTCGCAGACGGTATACGCTCTGCCCCGCACTTGCTGGCAAAGGGGTCGCTTCACACACTTATCACCAGCAGCGAAACCCACAAGATCCCGGCCCTCAGGGTTCAGGGTTTGCTGCTCGCTCACTTTAAGGGACTCGCATCTTCTTTGTTTTCACCTGCCGAGCGGTGCTTCTTTTGGGATACCCCCGCGACGGCGCTTTACTTGCTCGTCGAAGCTGTCGGGAATGGTGTCTAGATTGTCTAGCGACCCATAAAAGCATAGTCAAAGCATGGTTCAAGGCTTTGCTCCGGCAGCTGTTCGGAGGGATTCTGTTTCTCGCCTGCCTGCGGGGCAATGCAGTATACAGTGCAGTATACAATGCAGTATTCCAGTCACTTTATTTCACTTTGCCAAGCCGGTTGTTATGCGCAGGCGGCTGTCACGTTCATCACGGACCACGTTGCCAAAGGCTGCCTTAGAGTACTGCGATTGTTTACAGCGATCTGATTATCCCGAAGCACAGGCAGAGAGTGCCGTGTCTATGCTGCTTAGGCGGTGACGATCTCGACTCACGCTTGTCTTCAGCAACCCCCTGCTTGGAGGCATCGGTGTCTACGTGCACTGCAACGGCGGCCGTGGGCGCAGCGTGGTTTGTGTCCTCTGCTACCTCGTCGGTGCCCTGGCAGCTTTGGGGATGGAGTTGCGCCGCCGGCCAGTCCAGCGCACCCCCCCCCCAGATGTATGGGCAGGGCACGATCATTTGATTTCCTCCTTTTCATCACCTCCTGCTCAAGCTGCCCCGCACCCGCTTGGCAGGAGAGAGGGGGGACATAGGGAGACGAAGGTGACACAGGGAGAATAAGGGAGACAAAGGCAAACAATCCTGCGCAGCGAAGATCCCGACCAACACTCACATCGGCCTCGCGCGAACACTGGCCCATCATCAAGGGAGTGACGCTTTGTAGATCGTTTGGTAGGTTTGCTGGCAGCCCCAAATCATGTTTCGCCTAATGCGAGCAGATGCCCGCTACTCTCCTTACAAGCCCCACACAAGATTTGGCTATCTCGTCTTTGGGTTTTAGGGTCGGCGCACCTGTCAGGCGACACTGAAAGCAAGCGGCACACGTTTTTACCTGCATGTTCTTCGCAGCAGAGACTCGGTGCTTGTGGTTGGGGTTTGTAGACCAGTCTCCAATTTCACGAACGTGGGCGTGGCAGAAGCGATATCGAATGGCAAGGAAGGCACGAGCATGCCATAGAACCAGGAAGCCAGCCGCATGCCGCTGCTTCAAAGTCTGTTACTAAGGTTCCCAGGGGATGAGCGCAGAAGAAGCCTTCGACTTGGTCGCCGAGAAGCGGCGGGTCGTGACACGGTTGAAGAGGGGCACTCGGGGGTGGAAAAAAGCGTTGGGTTCCCGCTTTGAAGACTCTCAGCGACCATGCATTGAGGGGATGTATGTATCTGGACGGGTTCCTCGTGTTGGAGGAAGCATGCCGACTCGATTCTCTCAATTTTCCTTAGGCAGCCCCAGCCGGCACCCTGCAACCAACCTCGAGCTCAGAGCAGCCCGGAACCTTAAAGAGAAGCACCAAAATCCAAATCTCAGGCTGCCATGCGAGGCAGCTGTGGTCTGCACAAGCAGCCCCTCATCTGTGTTAAGAAGAGGTGCTTGGCTTTTGGACATGGTGTCTTCACCATCAGGTTCTTGACTGCATTTCCCCAGTGACTGCACAGAGAGGTTTGCTTTAAGCAGCTAGGGCGATGCGAGTTCCTCAGCTGTAGACACTAGGCCTGCCGTCACAGAAAAACGCGAACCGGGCGCAATGAACAAAATCCTGAAGGTTTTTTGCAGATGACGAAGAGCGTTAGAACATGTTAGAACCCAAATGCTGCGAACATGAGTTTGGCGCACAGGCTTAGTGCATAATACACGTGAGTTCGAGAGCGAAGCGAACTCACGACTGCGCGACCGCATGACATGCACAGAGTCTCGATTCGCACAACCCCTGATATCTGTTTCCGCACCTCTTCCTTATTTCTGTCTTCTTTGTCTTGTTTTTCGAAAGTGGTTTGAGCGTGCATCATGGAGCCCTCGGCTTGGCCAAGTGGTAGCACATCATAGCTCAATTCGGGAAGAGCTGGAGTACCATCCTTACTTGCAAGCATGCCTGGAAGTTCATCGAATCAGTTCAACTCCCTGTTGCGGACAGATCCTGCAGGTGGCGCTCCGTCAAGCGCTTTGAGAGAAACCTGCAAAGGATGACTGGGTGCTTGAAGTCAGGGCTTCGATCTGGTGGGTGAAATTCGAGCGAGCCCCGTTTCGCCCAAGCCACCCCACAGCCCTGAGGGGACGTCATGAAGGTGCTATGCTGGTCACGAGGGGTCCCCGATTTGCCGAAGCATGGTCCATGCAGGAGCAGGAGGACGCCTTTCATAGCCTTCAAGGAGGAGGACGACAGCATCGACAATGTTGCTAGCAGCACCCGGGCCGAACTGCATCGAATGTCACTCTTCTTGAGGGTTTGGGCCATTGCAAGCGCTGAAAAACTTTGGAGGATGCCAGAAGCTGACATGGTGTCGAGACGTAAACGCCCTTCTAGAAGCATCAGCCCCCAACTCTGAACACCCGAGGAGTGTAAGACGTAAAAGGAGCTGAAACGGACCGATTCGGAATCCTCGCCCGACTTGCCGAAGAGAGTTTTTGCAGTGCAGAGCCCCCCATGGCCCAACTTCAACAAAGGCCCGCAGGGCAACGCCGAGCTCAGCCCAAACCGGGACCTCGTGGCCTGGAGCTCGGTTGGGTTTAGGTCTCAAAAGGCTTGCTTGGATGGTGTAACCTTGACCTTGACACTGTAGAGCAGGCTCGAAGCCCTGGAATAGACTAGACAATGCGCAGGTTGAGTCAGGTGTTTTGTCGCCAGGAAGATGCTGTGGGCTCACGCTTGCACTGAGGTCAGCGTGGCCATGGAACCCGAGTCGCCGATCATGGCAGCGAACCGTGACGTCAGTAGGAAAATCTTTGGTTGTGCACGTCAAGCACACTCGCGTTACGACAGTACGGTTTCCTTGTGTTATCCATCCAGGAAGGCTCCGCCTGCGCAGCGGGACGACCCCTTGACCGTGCCAGGGGACTCTGAAGGCCACTGCCTGGAGGGTTTGGGCTCTTTGGGCTACTGGAGGCTTGTCCCAGGATGGTGTCAGCCCCAAGAATATTGTCCAGTAGCAGTAGTGGCAGTGGCAGTTCATAGCGACGTGGGAATAGTAGTCATAGTTGAAGTTAGGCAAAGTAGTGAGAGCATGAGCAGTGAGAGAACAAGAGCAGTAAGAGCGGGTTGCATGAGCAGTAAGAGTAGCAGCAAGTAATAGTAACAATAGGGGTGCTAGGAATAGCAGGCGCCCTTTTCCGCGGCCCCGCTTGGGGGTATGCGTAGCTTGCACTGCTGCAGCTTGGGGTTTGGGCTTGAGCGTTTGCGGGTTTCAGTTGTTTTGGAGAGTTTGACGGTTTTGGGGCTGCGCTGCTTTGGATGGGGATGTGGGCTTTGACAGTTTGAGGGTTTGAGAGTTGTGGGGTTTATTTCACGGCTGTGTTTCCAGGTCCATGGTCAAGGGTTTGAGAGTTGCGGGCTTACGCTGTTTTGGCTTCTGGAAGATTTGGAGTAGGACTGTTTTGGCCCGCGGGGTTGGGGGTTGCGCTTTAGCGGCGTGTGTGGGACATTGTTATCGTCGTCATAGTTGCAAGTTCTGAATTCTAAACAAAACCCCGTCGTGTACATATGAGAAAGCATGTCTTGCCTGTGTGGTGCAAAACCCATGCGATACGTGCAACGTTAACAAAGGGCAAATCGTGGGGGTGACAACAGTTGTTGAGCAACAGTTTTACCCACAGGGCTTGATTGGATTCACAACCAACATCAACTACCTCTGACAACACACACAATATCATGTTAACAAAGGCCTATGACAGCCCCCCTCCTCCAAAACTGTGGAAAGCCACAGGCTTCGCCACTGTGTATGGTTGTGGTGGCTGTGTTTGTTGCTGCTGCTGCTGCTGCTGCTGCTGCTGCTGCTGCCGCTTCTTGCCCGGATGCTGGCAGATGCTTCAAGCTTTTATGACAGGCTTCTGTGCCCATTTTTTGCAACGCCCAGCTTGCACGAGGCCACCCGACCAAGCCCTGTGTGGGAGACTCGCCCCCGCCGCCACAGAACGACCCCACGGGCATCCTCGAGGTGCCTTGTTTCGTGGCCTTGCTGGGTTTGGAGGTTCGGCATTGGCCGAGTTCTAAGGAAGTAATAGGAAGCAGGAAGACTGCGACTTTGCGCAGAGAGAGGAAGACTGCGCCTTGCAGTCGAAGAGTTGGGTGCCAATGCCTAGCTGCTAGCTTCGTGCCGAGCGTAGTTGGTGTTTGGAGATGGCCTGGAGGCGGGAGGTCACTCCTTGGCCTCGGCGGAGCAAGTTCCGGCCGACGCACCTCGGCAGGGTTGTAGAACTGTTGTAGAGATGTCCTGTGCTGCGGGGTGAAATGCAAGGCTCACATCATGAGGCTTGATTTTCGCCTTTTGCCTGGCACAAACACATCCCGGAAATCCCTCAATGCCTGGCTCCCTTCACTCCACGAGGCAAGCCACAACACGAAGTCTCCCCCACACACCCTTTCGCAAGATTTTGCAGGCCCATTTTTGCACAGCTAAACTCATTTGTTCGTGAGAGTAGCCCATCCAGCATGAGTATTTGACTTGGAGAGTATAGGCTCCGTGGGTCTGCGTGCTCTGTGTGTGGCCAGGCGGAAGAGTACGATGAGGATGCGCGGTATGACAGCGCAAGCGAGAGCTCGGAGGAGGTGGGCCTTCGGGGTGTTCGGGTTCGCGATGGTTTGCATGGTTTGCGCAACTACGCCCCTTGGCCCCTGACTCTGGTTGCTTGGGAGCTTTCAGGGCTCAGGGCTGTAGGCTTACGTCGTGTTCCCAAGGCCGAGCCGCCGCTGCTGGAGTGAGTGGTTCGGCCGCGCTCTGTGCGATGCTCTCAGAAGGTCTGTAGCATTCTAGGCAGTAGTTCTATATAAGGCTCCTCTTTCGCACGTGCAAGAGGCTACTCATTCTAATTTTTGGGTTTAAGTTCAAGGCTGTCCTGGAAGTTTTGCATCTTGCAGACTACAGCTTCGTTTTGGCAAGTCTTATCTGTATTGTCAGGTCTTGAGCACACAAGGTGTGGAGCAATGGGAAACTCTTAGCAGATCCAGCCGCGCAACGCAGTTCTGACAACTCGAGTGCATCTTCACTCGCTTGTCGCCATATCCAGACCGGATGCTTTTGGCACCTGTCCAAGCGCTATTGTGGGCGCAGAGTTTGCACCACAATTTTGTGGCACATCTGTGCTCATCTGCTCTGTGGGGGTGACGTCAAGCGCACGTTTCACTCGACATTCGCCATCTTCCGCAGCGAAATCCAGCCATGGATTCTGGAAGGTTCTCAGAGATCCAAGGAGGAAGGTAAGCACCGTACGCCGCACTGTTAAGAAACGTGTAATGAGCTGTCCAAGATCTCACCATCGGGCAGAGTTGGCGAAGCCAACAGCCACTGCCCTGAAATCCTGGCACGTGGGAAGCTGGCACCAGCTTGTTGACAGGTGCATTTCTCCCTATAGGGAAACACCCTGCTGAGTCCCAACACATCCCAAAACCACACAAAAACAGACACCCGTCAGAGCGGTGGCCTTCTTAGCCAGGCTTGCAAGATGCTTCAAGAAGCCCCGCGCTCCCACTCCGAAAGCTATGTTCGTGGGTGAGTTAGAGCTTGCTCAGGGAACTTGAGAGGGTGGGCCTTTACAGCAGGAACTCGACTATACAAAACGGAAAATACGTCGTGTCACCATGTTACCAACAGCAATGGTTGCTGCAAGGGTTAAGGTGACGTTGGCTGTGCAGTTTCCTCTGTGGTCAGGCATGTCAGTCTGGAGTCGAAAAATGGGGGCGCGGGTGCTGGCGGCTGCTTTCTCCCCTTCTATGTATATATCTCTGCGACGATGCCCCTGGCCGTGCAGACTTGTCGGTGTCTGCTACCCTGCCACTAAAGGTCTTCGCAGAGCAGGTGGGCTCCCCTCAACTGTAAATTATCTTCGAAATGTTAGGCGAGCCGTAAAAACCTCGAGGGGGCCCTTGCTTGGAGGGAAGCTGCGTGTAATTGCGTGCTGGTGCAAGAAACGGCAAACCACCACCCACAAGAGATGCCGTATGTGCAGAGGTTCGGGTCGGATGGCTGTCGTCCAAGAAGATCTGCTTGCGCCACAGTAGCTTTTAGGCATGCCGGCATGCCTTTGCTACAAATCTGCACAGGGGAGGCCGCGCCCCAAATGGCTGCTGCGCCTCCGCTTTTCCATTTAGGTTACAGATGTTGGCCTGTTAAAGAGGCCTGTCCGCTGGTTGCTGCGTGTTATGAGTGAGCAAAACAGTGTTTTTCGGTGTCAGGCGTTGCACCATGTGGCCCCTTTCTTCATGTTCTTCTGCAGTGGCTTCTTCTGATTAAGGGCTGAGTCTGGCACAGGGCGCTGGTAGTCTGCAAAGCTTACCCCTTCAAGGGTTTCTCAGATTTGAACGGCTTCTAGAGTCTGTAGAGTCTAGTTTTCAAGCTTGGTCCAATTCTCAGATCCCCTGCAGTTTTCTGCTCAGCTATCCTCATCCACACTCTTCGAAAGAATGGCCCTCTCCAGGCCATGCCGGGCAAGGGTTTGCCTTCGAAGTTTCGTTTTCGAAGATCAGCATTGTGCTGTCCCGTCACCTGTCTTCCTGTGTGTTCGCAACTATGGAGGATGCGCACGCGGCTGCCTTCTGTGGCCAGGCACTTGGCTCGGCGTGGCTTCCTGAGCCTTTGCAGCCCTGAGCTTGTTTCTTGAAACCCGACAGGCCTTGTCGTTTTCCCGGAAGCATATCCGTGAAGCATGTCCGTGTCGCTAGATTTTATACGGTCACCACCCCAAGGTCCACCCTTGCCCTTTCATGTTCGGGTTCCGTCGGCTTGTGATTCAAGTTCCTGTGTTTCAAGCTTCGAGACCACCGGTATTTACGCTTTCTATAGCTGCGCAGCATATATCGCATGAAGACTTGCCTATCGGCACTTGTTTTCTGAAACCGGAATCCGGAATCCGGTTTTGGATTCAGTCATTTCTATATGTTGAATTTACATTCCTCGCAGCGTTTTTGTTTTAACCTTTCTGATCTATCTCCCAAAAAGCAAAGCCTGATTTCTCATGTCTGTCGCACCCATCTCCCCCATAAGCAAACCCGAGTTATTTAGCTTCTGTTTTCTTTACGATATTGAGTTGGGATTTCGGCATCTGTCCCCCGATAAGCAAAACCCTAAACTCGGAGTTGTTTTTTGCTTCTGTTTTATGTAATAATAATTCGTTGTGCTGGGATGTCAATCATCCCCCCCAGAAGAAAACTTCGTATCTCGCATAGTTTACCTCTGTTGTCCCCAAAGACCCACGCTCAGGAGCGCTTCGGGCGCCCGGCGGCAGGCCTGAGTAGCATTGAGTAGCATTGAGAGGCACTTGAGTGAGCACTGAGTGAGCACTGAGTGAGCACTGGGGAGGGTTCTGAGGGGCCCAGTGATTTGATTTTGTCTCGAGCTGAATGAGGTCCACGTTAGCCAAGCTAAGCCCTGGCTCGAGGCCGGTGCTGATATTATCGGCATTGACCTGGGCACCACGAACTCGTGTGCCTGGGCAACGTTACCATTCTGCGGTGTGGGCTCGTCGGTTTCGGGTTTTGCGGTCGAAGGTTGACAGAGTGGACAGTGGCAGCCCTTGTTGCAGGGCGCACGTCACGAAAGTCCGGTGCACAAAAAGCCTTGAGCCACAAATCACGAAAGCTAGCTCCTTGGAGCTCGCGAGAGTTGTCGTTTACAAGAATTCTCTCTAGTGTTCAGCTGGGTCAAGAAGCGACTCCGACCCTTAAGTGGTCTGAAAATCAAAGAGATAAAAGGGCTGTGGAGGGGGGGGGCCCCCCCTCCCCCCCCCTTATAGGATTGACAAAATCAATCTTAAGGTGTCCCCCCCCCGGTGGGTGGCTTAAATAGGGTCTATTTGGAAGCTGACACTCGGGTTTTTAGACTAACCAATGCGTCTCCACGAGAGTATTCTTGGAAGCTGAGAGTGGTGTTTTTGTGTGGTAGATACAAAGGAAAGGGCATAAGAAAGTAGCGAAAGGAGCTCCTCAATTCCCTTCCTTATCTCCTATGCTCTTTTCTGTATTCATTGCAACAGGAGAATACAGGAAAAGGGCCTCCATTCCCCTCTTGTTCTTCCTTTCTTGTGTTTTTGTCATTTAAAGGGGAACAGGAGAAGAGAAGGGAAAGAGAAGGAGAGAGGAGAGATGAAAGGAAGACAATTTTAATGGGAAGAGCCAAGAAAAGAATAGAAGAGAGATGAACAAAGAAGATGGAGAGACAAAACAAGGCGCAAAGAAAATGGCACTCTTCTTTATCTATCCTCTCTCCCTTCTCTCTCCCTTCCCTCTTTCTTTTGGAAACAGAAAAACGAAAAAGGAAGAACTTGAAAAGGAGAAGGGTAAGGAAAAGAGCAGAAGAGACAGGCCGAAAAGAGGGATATGATGAAGTATGGGCAAGGTCCACGCGCAAGGAGTCACTCTCTGCTTACCCTTCCACTGCTTTATCATACAAGTTCCTTTCTTGTGTTATATTAGTTAAAAGGTAACAGAAGGAGAGAAGGGCAAGGGAAGTGAGAGAGGAGAGACAACAAGGAGGCCATTTGAACATTGTTCCACTGGCTATTGCCCTGAGCACTGTCTGAGTCCACGTTGCTGTGCTGGGGCAGCTGCCAACCACCTTCCGGATTACTTGCGTGAGGCGTGTCCTGATCTTCAACGCAGCTCTTTCGATGACATGCCTGCGCCTGTTCGGGAAACGGCTTCTAGCCTTCGTGCCTTCACGCAACGTCCGGGAAACGTGCGCGGTTCCCGTCGTCATCGCCAGCGCGGCGGGGACCGAACTATGTGAGTTTGGCGCTCCTCAATACGAATCGTCTCTGGCAGCCAGATGGCTCTGAGCATCCTGCTTTTCATGGTCTTGTCAATATACTTGCTGCTCATGAAATTGACTGCGTATGTCTGCAGGAAACATGGGCCCCGGCTGGTGCACAATTGCCCACCGATCAGCCATACCTGCATGATGGTCCTTGCGGCGTTGGCGGCTGTGAAGCAGCCTTTCTAGTCCAACAATCCTCTGCGTCATGCTCACTTGAAACAGTTAACCCAATTCGTCGTATTCGTTGGCGATGCTTCACCCATTCCTGCAGTGACCCGCCGTTGCTTCTCTGTAGCTTTTATGCTCCTCACGTGGGCGTTCCCTTGCATCAGCGTCTTGAGTTCTGGTGCCAACTTCGTGCCTCCGTCCAATGTGCTCTGCAGCAGCATCCGAATGCGCATTTAGTACTGGCTGGTGATTCCAATGTATACCTTGCTGAGGTTATGGGCGCTGATCTTGAACGGTCCAGTGAACCTCAGTTGCGCAGTCTGATACGCGAGCTTTGTCAAGACTTCGGCCTACGTGTCGCAAACCCTGCTGGGGTTCCTACACACCGGTCTGGTTCATGCATTGATCTCGTCCTCGCCTCGCAGGGACTGGGTTTATCAAACTTTCTAGTCCATGATGGCGAATCTTGCGGATGTTTCCAGGGTGCATGTTGTCCCGTTCTTGGCAGTGACCATCGTCTCATCACTTTCCAGGTTGCTGTTCCTCTACCGTCGCAGGATGCCCCAGATGAACGCTGGCCAAGGGTACGGAATTGGCAACCTGTAGTCAGTTCCTTGCAACCGCAACTTCTGCAATGGGCATCTAAACTCTTGCAGTTGCGAAATGACCCACTTCCCCCATTAACTGATCGTCGGGTGATTCTCGATGTGTTGTATGCAGAATTTGTTGCCCTCATATGGCAAGGGGCTGCGCCCTTCTCTTCTCGGCGCACTGCGCCCGCAGGACG